TTTTAAAGCTGTTCCTTCTTGCTTAGCAGGTTCTTGATAACCCCATGCTTCATGTCCCTGAAAATTTTCAAGAATTTCACAAATTTGCATATGAAAATTTAAATTTGAATAGCAATTCAGAGAATTTGAATCCGGTCAATGACAATAAAACCTACAGTAGAAATTGGGTTTGTTTGGGTTTGGAAAGAAAAATCTTCTTCCTGCTTGACATCTTGCTGCTGCTGGGTATTAGTAGAATTGCTTTTCCAATTAAAAGCCTGAAATGGGAAAGTACCTGTTGTTGGAGATGGTAAAATCTGCATATTTCATCCCAAAAAATTCAAACTTTAGCTTCAAATGATGCAAGAAAAGTGTTAAAAAAAGGAATCCAGAAAAAAGAAAAAAAAAAAAGGCTTACTTTTGAAGCAGATAAGAGAACAGGAGAGTCCAAAAGCTCAGCAGGGCTTAAACCAGGTGGAATTGAGAAATAGGAAGAGGGCGAAACTGGAGGTGGCGATAAGGGAAGTGAAGGTGGTGGAAGAGACTTGAACTTGGGTACCCCAGAACCCGTCCTCTCCGCTATCCGTTCACCAAGACCTCTTCTCACGGCGGCGCTACCATTGGCTCCGGCGCTACCGGGATAGTTATCGGAAGAAAGCAGGTCTGTGAAAGAAGTCGTCATGAATGAACCACTTGTTGAGAAAGAAAAAGGCGATGATTGTTGGGGTTGTGAATTTGAATTTGTAGAGGTTTCTAAACTTCCTGAAGAAGCAGCCATTAGAGAGAGAAACAAGAGAGATAATTGCTTTTATAAGAAAAATGGACTGATTGGATTGGGTTGGATTGTTGAAGAAGAAGTAAAAATGTATACGTAATTCGCAAGGCGCCCTTTTTGTCTTGTCCGTTAGTTAATTGCATATTTTTTGTTAAGCCACGTTTTACCCACATTATTGTAAAAATAGAAATGAAAAATATAATCATTATGAACTTCGTAAAAGAGATAAAAAGTCAAATATGTTGGCTTGATGCAATTGATAGTAGTTATGTTTTTATTTTAATGAAGAAATAATGGGGTTCAAACGTAGCCTAAGAGCAGTTTGGTATGGGTTTTCAAAAAATTAAAAGCTGCTTTTGGGGGAGGAAATGTATTTTAAATAGTAAATTGATGAAAAATTGTAGTTAAAAATTAAGAACAAATTTTGAGTTTACGTGTAATATTATTTTATTGAAAAAATTGTGATTGAAAATAAATTTTATAAAAGTAAATTTTTAAAAGAATGCGGCTAGGGGCTAGATTTCAATAATTTGTTTTGATTAGCGAGAATAGCTAACTAATATTTTTTAGGCCCATTTGTTTTTCATTTTTATAAGAATGAGAATGAAAAATATAGTTAATATAAGTCTCATATAAGATATAGAAATTTAAAATTTGTGACTTGATGTCATAGTTAACGATCATATTTTTCATTTTAATAAAGAAAAAATGAGAAATAAACAGGGGTTTAATAAGCCCTTGTATGAGTTCATTGTTTCCATTAAAATATATTTTTCAAGAGTCATTTAACTCATTTCAATCACATGTTTTTCATTAAAATAATATTACAAGTAAATTCAAAATAATTTTTTATTTTTTAACAACATATTTTTCGTCAATATACAATTCAAAAATGTATTTTTGGCAAGAATGAAGCTCAAACAAGGGCTAAAATTTTTATATAAAGATTCTATTTGGTACAAATTAAAATTAAAATTTTAATTTAAGTCAAAATTAATAACTTATTTTAACCATATATTTATAGAATTCATAATTATTCAATTACACATTTCAATAATATACTAAAATTTTGATTTTAATTTTCATCAAACAAATGCTTTATAAAAAAAAGCATAAATCATTCCAAAATGAAAAAGTGAAAAGTATAAACAAGAGAATGGTGGATAGATATTCGGGCGGTCAAATATGGTGGGTTTGACTTAGACAGGCGGCTCAAATAAAATAATCAACATCTACGCGTTTATCTCACTTTCATTTCCCCACCTCCACCTCCACACCACACCTGCACCTAGGGGTGGCAGTGGGCCGAGTCGAGCCGGCTCGGCTCGTTAACCCACGAGCTCGGCTCGAGCTCGTGGCTCATTTTTCACAAGTCGAGCTCATGCTTGGCTCGTTGCTTGTGGGCGAGCTCGGCTCGCGAGCTCGTGAAATTTTTTTTTTCTTTTTTTTTGCAAATTTTTCAATTTTTATTGATAAAATTTCAATTTTTTCCATTTTTTGGACGGGCCGGCTCGTGGGCTCGGCTTGTGAGCTCGGCCCACGAGCCGCTCGTCAAGCTCGACGAGCTGAGCGGGCTCGGCTCGTTGGAATCTACCCCCGCTCGGCTCAAGCTCGGGCTCGTCATTTGACGAGCCCAAACAGCCCATGAGCCGAGCTTTGACGAGCCGAGCCGCGAGCCGACTCAACCCATTTGACATCCCTACCTACACCACAACTCTCTGGAGGAAATATATTATTTACGAAAGTACTACATGTATATAATGATGTTCATAATTACACATAAAATTGGATCCAATTTTTAATTGAAATATCATAATTGCACATCAACAATCGGATGATTATCACATCACATTATAGACACTATTATATGCAATAATTATGTATAAGTAGAATTTTCCTATTATTAAATCCCAATCTTCGTTCTCTGTTTCAATATAAAGTTATTAAGGGCTGTTTGGTTTATATTAAAATTTGATTTTAATCTAAATCAAAGTTAAACAATCAATATTAATCAAATTTTTAATGGGTCTTACAACTTTTTAATCACACATTTAAATTTTTTTTTATCACAATCTAATAAAAAAAAATCTGTTTTTAATATCCACCAAACACTCTCTAAAGCTTTTATTGTATCGTAATTGTTTGTGCCCCATTATTTGTGTGTAATGTATTATGGAATAATAATTGATGTTGAAATGTGTGGTTAAAAAAGAAAAAAAATTTCGATTTACGTGTAATATTATTTTATGAAGATTGTGTGATTGAAAATAGGAAAAGGAAAAATTAAATGTAATGTAATTAAATGAAAAGTAATGGGGGCTAATTAGTTGTGTTTATTTGTTGATCCGTGAATGTTTTTTATTAAATAAAAGTTGCTGATTTTGAATGTGAGTATTTATTCTTAATTTCATTCCAATTTTTCTTACAATCGAGTCATTTGGAACGATTCCTATCATTAAATTGTCATTCATAATCATACACGTGATACAAATTTTGCAACCAAAAAAGAATGCCACCGTAGTCACACTCAACACGAACACAAATGCTCAATGAGCAACATGATGTCCTACATTGGGTTCCTCGTTGAATTTGGAAGGCCATCATAAACAGAGTTGTCCAATTTTAAAAATTCATCAACTTCAACTTCTTTATCGAAAAATGGTTCGAGGTCACACTCAACAACCAATTTAGCCACGTGTCGATCACTAGCACTGATTTGCTTTCTTTATCAAAACTAATATTCATCCGCTGGTTGAGATTAGAAGGCATGAAAGAGCTGTTGTCGTCGCCAGTTTAACAATTGTTCTAACACCTTCACTTATAGATGTAGTTGTGCTAAATTATCAGATTGTGAGATTTTCACCATATAGATTTCAAGAACAACGTATCTTCTTGAATCTTGATATCATGATTAGGAATATTATTGCACTCTGTCCCTCATTCTTTCCTTCTAAACTAATGAGAAGAGCTCTTGGGTTCACATAGACTCATTAATTCGATTAAATATTTATGACTATGGATTATTCATTGATTTAGACGAATGAGGTCTACTTTTATATAATATTAAAAAACGAAACCTTATTTGTTTGCTCCCAGCTCTTCTACGCATTATACTCTACAAATCATATATATTTGATTTATACATTAAAAGTGAAATTTTTTGCATATTATTCATTTTATATTTTCTCAACATGCATTTGCATAAAAAGTACAGGATATAAACTTTGTATCGAAACACATTAGACATTAATTCAAAAGTAAATTTCTATTATCAGCCCTAATCTCCCGTCTCTAATGGAAAAATTTTATCCTACCCACCGAGGGTAGGAGATCAATTTCATTTCTATTATATGGTGTTAAAATAATAAAACGGATAATATTTAATAGAATAAAAATGAAATATAATGTAAAATTTATCAATTGTCTTCTCTACCAGCTTGCTATTAGTTTTACTTTAAAAAAATAGTAATGTAATTCATCTAGAATCTAGATAATTATCAGTTTAATCGAGAGTGAGTCGTCGACACATTGTCACATAGATCGATAATTATCCAAACTTTATATGAATAATGGACAACTCCGACCCTAATTAAGCCCATGTTTGTCTATCATTATTTGTCCATTAAAATGAAAAATATGACCGTTATTCATCACATTAAGACATTTTATTTGACATTTTATTTCTTTTGTGAAGCCCTAACAATTATATTTTTCATTCTCATTCTTTCATTAATGTGGCTCAAACGGAGCTTATGTAAAATTTAGATGTGGAATCCTAAAAAAAAAAATTAAAAAAAATGAAATGAAGGAAAAACATAACCCTTAGTGCAATAATTTAAAATTTAAGTAAAAAAAGTGAGGTTGGTCCTAAGCCGCTGTTTGGCCCCTATTACGTGGAAAAATTAATGGATAAAATAGTATTTTTTTGAAAAAATGAGTGGTTGAAAAAGTAGGAAAAATTTTCGATTTACGGGTAATATTATTTTATGAAAGATTATATGGTTGTAAATAGAAGAGAGAAAAATGAAATAAAATGGAATGAAAATTAATGGGGCAAGGGGGCTAAATCACATTGGTTTAATGGAGTTTGAAAGAGTCTTAAGTATATTAATTAAATGGGGCAATGGTTGATTAATCACAAACCTGCCTCAATTAAGTCCGGCAAACTTGGTGCTTGATTTTACAGATGTAGGTGCGTCAGTCAATCGTCATCAATACAACAATTTTGACTAGTCAACAACTGAACTTCTAGAAGCAATGTCAACATTTCGGATAATAAAACAATACATTTCACATCCTTGTCAAAGTTATCTTCAAATATACAATAAACAATAAAAATGACAAACTTTAAAGCATGTTGGTTGGTCACGTGTGAATTGGATCGTTTATGATTAAATTATAAATGGTAGTCAAACATGAACTTAGCTCGTGCAACGTTGTCCATTATTAAGTCCCGAACTCGTTAATTTGTGAACTTATTAGATGATGACGTACGTTTCCATTTTCAACCATCATGTCTTGGTAATTGTATTTGCCATCCATTGGGGTCTGTCTCCACCTACGAGGACAAACAGAATTATCATATGGCTGATATGCCCTAAATGAGTTCGTTAAATGGGGTTCGATTAGACGTATGAATCATATGACTTGAGCCTATGTTCTCAAGCCGTTATATCTTACGTGTTTGTTATCTTATCCTCCTCAATTTAAGTCTTTCATAAAGTAGAGGTCTTAAATTTGAACTGAGAGGGACGCGACGAAAAGTCGTGAGAGATAAATAGGTAAAGACTCTTCCTATAATGGCTCGAAAACACGAAAGGAAAAGCATGTACCTGAAAAGCTTTGTTTCTCCAATGAAATACGCAGCCACGGTGTTCCATCACACTATGTACAGACTGAGGGATTGATGCTTTAAAGGATGTGTGGAGTTTCACTTTCATGAGCCCTCTAAACGCAAAAAGAGCAGCTACAACGCCGTTTGGAGTCAATCCAGTAACGTGCAAGATAGTCATATTCTGCAGACGGCTTATGCTAGCCAGTGCTACAAGTCCAGCATCGGTAACTGGACAATACGATAAGTTTATCTGCAAATGCACGTTTATTAGTTCATCAAAGCCAGGTGACAAGTGTAGTTTTTCGCGTGAATGTAGAGATAATAGGATACCTGTTTGAGGTATTGAGAATATCGAGCAAGAGAAATCATTCCAGTATCATCAATGTTACAGCATTTCTTAATGTCCAAGATGCTCAGCTTTTTACAATTCGTGGCAACGGCGGATAATCCAACAGAAGAGACGCAAGGACAACCTCGAATTTCTAGAACTTTCAATTGTAAGCATTGAGATAAGGATAATAAAGAAGCATCAGTAACTTTGTCACAGTGAGCCATGTTAATCGACTCCAGGGCAGGGCAACCATTAGCAACTGCTGCAATGCCATCATCAGTTATTGATATGCACCTGTTCGAGGGGAAAAAATGGAAACTGTAAGCAGATTTTACTTGAAAAGCCACGCTTGGAAACTTGAGCAAATTATTTTGACTACAAAACTCTCGAAAACCAGCAATTGGTGCTTTGGATGTTTGTTCTGTAAATAACCTTTTTATAACTCGGAGGATTCGTAATTCTATGACTTAGCCATTACACCAAAATGAGAGACCGAAATCCCCTAAAACCTTGTAGAATTTTTCTAAGATTTATGCTCCTTTTGGAGCTCGGTTCACAGGAAAACAGATGCGACTTGAAAAAATGTGAAAGCTGTTATGAACTTGTTCACGTGCCTGTACAAGTCGAGCTCTATAAGCTTTTGACAAGACATTGCAACATGTGATAGTCCACAATCTGTGATGTTTGGACACACTCCCATTTTTAAACTCAAAAGCTTGGTACATCTCGAGATTGACTCTAAACCTGCACCATAAAGTAGCATGTTTCATTTTAAGTAGATCTAAAACTTGAACTGGATATATTGAAGGTTAAACCTTCATCATCAATTTCGTTGTCAGTGATATCCAGTTCTTTCAAAGATTGACAGCGCTGTCCAATCAACACGATAGCTTCTTGAGCAACCATGCAACAAGCCTCCATTCTGAGGGAAGTGAGTGAAGAACACGAATTTGTTATGCTATCTATAGAGGCGCAAGTTATCTTGTGACAACACGTAATATCCAGTTTCTGCAACTGAAGAAGCCTCTGAGCGATATAGGAAACACCCTCGTCTGTCACTCCAGGGCATTTACATAAACTCAACTCCTTCAAAGATACACACCAATCCCCAATTGCTTTTATTGTAGAGAATGTGACCAGGCAACCGTCTAACTTGATAGATTTCAATCCCGATAACTTGTACCAGCATTTTGCAAAATCATCAGTGACCTGAACCACCATTTAATGCATAAAATTTCGAAATGGGATTAAGTTACAAAATCAGATAATATATGTTAGGAAAATTCCACTTACGGCAGAGCCATATGCCAAACTAAGGTGGCTTAAGCGTTCAGCGCCATTGATTAAAGAAAACAATCCGACATTGCTCATATTGTGACATTTGGATATATTGAGCACCTGTAAAACACAGAAGGATAACACCATAAAACAGCACATGATTAATTAAGTGGTTGTTTGTTGTCGATTAAAAGTCAATTACAATTAATTTTTTGACCGTTTTTCACCATACTAGCCGTCATTTTTGAATTATTCTCTCACATATAGGATCTACTTTATCTCTAACGGTCAAAAAATCAATTATCAAAATCCCTACCAAACAAGCTCTAAATCAAACAATTCAAAGCTGCAATTGCTAGTCTGCTGATGGTTACCTTTATTAAACCATCGGAAAATATCAATACCTCGAGTGACTTGCAACTTTCTTTCAGAATCCCAAGGCCCACATCATCGATACCAGGACATTCGACAAGAATTAACTCTTTGAGATATTGTAGTTGCAGAATAGGCACTAGACACTTCTCCGTTATCTGCAGCCCATAGGGACAGGGGACGGAAAAACTTTCAGTTAAATGGAAGTACACAAATTAAGAAACAAAAAGAGAAATATATCCAAATTATAAGGTATTAGTTGAGCACATAAGCGTTGGACCAAATCTTTCTGCAAGAAATATCAGCTTCCATAGACCTCTCCTCTGTTATGTTGATTTTATCCAATTACTTGACTTGTCACCATTCAATTATTTCTTTATTTATTTTTTTTCCCGTCAAGGTTAATAGTCTTTGTTCAATCATCAAAATGAAGAAGTGACAGAAAAAGAAGTCTTCAGTGCACCAGCAACAGATAGAGCTTATCCTGCCATAGCGTAAGGGTCGAAAAAAATGACTAGTGTACCAAGACAGCAGAACCTACATGAAATTTGTTACATGAAATTTATCTAACAAAATCAACTGAAAAACCTAAACACTGGAAAGAAAAATCAGTTTCTTTTTATCAGAAACAATCATTAGAACAAATGGTGAAGAAATCATTGACATAAGTGCAAAAGAGAGAGACATTAACTAAGAATTTACCAGCAAATAAGAGAGGTCCAAACTCTGAATATCTTTACACTTTGTGGCAATTAAACCTACACCCAAATCAGTAAGTCTCACACACCATTTCAAGCAAATAAGCTTCAGCTTTTTGCAGCCCACAGCAATGCACCCAATCCCAATATCTGATACCAATTTGCACCTTGCCATCCACAACTTTTCCAAGTTCTTAGCTTCTGCAATAGCTGCCGCCCCAGCATCCGTCAACTCCGTTGCATTGGACAAATCCAATTCAATTAAACCCCAACACTTGCTTGCTAAACTTGACAATCCCATATGAGTAAAAAATCTAGATCTTGACAGATTAATGGACTTCAAAGTAGACCAATATGCATTAGATATAGACCACAGTACTCTGTCTTCTACACGTGGACAGTAAGTAAGATCAACATGATGAATCAGGGGGTATCTGGTGAGAATTCTTGATATGAGCTCAATGTAAAGAGGCTTCAAAGTCTTCCTCTGATGGGATTCAATAGAGTGGAATGATTTGCAGACTAAAGAGAAAGATTTCTTCGTTTCTGAGTCTTCATCGAGGCAGTCTAAGATTGTCGATTTGATCTCTTCTGAGAGGGATGCAAAGGGATTAACGAGTTTCATAGCTTGCATGGTTTTGTGGGCTTTTTTCATTAAAACGCTGAGATTACAGTGGAATTTTGTGAGTGACAAGAAATTAGAAAAGAAATTGCAAAAGCAATAATCTTTGACTAAAGTATATATTAGATGGAAAAGGAAAACTATTTGTGGAAAGTAGAAAGAGAAAAATGTGATGCCATTGACCGATAGATTCTGAGATCCACTTTCCAACTGTTTAAACAGAAACCAGTTCCTTGGCCGGAGTTGTTTACTTGATCTGTTTGGGGAAAATAAGGAAGTGGCACAATTAAATTACAAAACTAACTTTCAAAATGTTTGATACGCAAATGTAAATGGAAGAAATAAGAAAGACAAGACTCATTCATGAAAGGGACAATTTCGAAATTGGTGGAGCATCCATCACTCTCTTAAATGGCAAATATAATTATATATACGGTGATGATATGATAAGTGAGGAGGCGGGTCACATTCGGGGAAGGGAATAAAGGAGGGAGTACATACTCCAGGGGACATCCAGGTACGGCATATAATATTGCCATTGGTAGTAATTGTCTACTTTTTCCGAGAGAAAGTTCGACAGAACGGCATATATATATATATATATATAAATAACATGTGGTAAGATTATTCATTCAAATTAAAATACTTTAGAATTGAGTCATTGAAAATGTGTGTCTGCACTGACTTTGTTTCTCTCTTACCATCTTGAACACTGATGCAGAGGTGTCATAATTTAAGTGAAAAGATCATACCACGTATGTAATGTCCCAAATTTTCATAAACATTGGAGCGTTATAAAAAGCTCAATTTTTCCTTTAAATAAATGCGAAGTGTCACAAATAAAAGAAATTATTTATTTCCAACCAAAACATCAATTTAAAACACGAGATCTGAGTTTCAAAAAATCTAAACATAATCAAATGACTAGTTAAACAAGTGTGTCCTTTCAACAATTAGAGCTAACAAATAAAATTAGGGACATAATAGCAAACTAATGGTTTATTTCCTTTTTCATTAGATTTCCTTGGCCGTCTGCTTCACCAATTCGTCACAGTTCCAATTGACCTGAACTAACCTATAAAAATTTGTAAGAGTAAGTATTCGAAAATATTCAATAAGACATGTGCAGTTTTCATATACAAATATATAACAATAAAAATTATACATTTCATACGACTCTAATCTTATGGAATATATTGGTGACTAAACAATACACCCATCTTAGGTCATTTTGTAATTCCGTAGGTTTTCATATCTTTTTTTTTTTTTTAAAAGAACGTCGACTGACAATTCATGCATATTTAATTGAACATAAAAGCATAAGGAAACGAAAAGCTTCTGCACATACAAGTATCTTGCCTCATTATTGAAATATACATAAAAAATTGAATGTACGTTCTGGTATCTTTTTCTACGCCTCTCTACTACTGCATACAACTGGTGGGTATTATTATGATTTTTACAATTGTTTCTATAGATGAATTGGCATGAAAGGGACTGTTTTGGTTACTGATAAAAAATGGCTTGTTGGTAATAATGTGTGCCTACTCACTTTTCAAGAATAACCTCCCTTTCTATAGTATGTGTTTCAACCATGTGTAGGTACATATATTTTGGGGTGAAAAATCCTTGGACGCAATTGGTGTATTTATAGGGTCCATACAGTAAAAAATTTAATTTCACTATAATTGAAATAAAGGTGTCGTGTACCATAGGTGTATCATTTATGTTTATCCTAATCAACTATCAAAACCAATCTAAATTATCAACGTGTTTACCAACTATATCAGCAATTAACTAACTAAATTCTAGGAATTGAACTCCTTATAAGCGCATTATACATGTAACTCTTGTTCCCTAACCTGTTGGAGTACATCTCGCGATTTACCTCTCTCACAAATCTTTAAGGGCGGGGCATTGGAGCCCTCAAAGTTGAAGTTCAACCTTTTTTTTTTTTTTTTTACTAACTAAATCCTAGATTTACCTTTATCAACCTAGAAGAAATCAATTTATCTCTACCTAAAAACACTCACACATGGCCGGCATCCCTGTCCAAATTAAGTACTCTAAACAAACAATATTCGAAAATAAACAATTACAAATACAATTACATTGTAACTAAATTTCACTTCTTTATCTAAAATTAAATTTGTTGTTTTTCCATCTTTATAACTTCATTCATCGGCAGGTTCAGAAATTGTAGAAGATGGATCTTGAAAAACAAAAGAAATATTATACTCAATATCATTATAAATTCATAATAACGATGATTAAAATGTAAATTATGTAATAAATAAAATTACCTCCTCATCAACATCCTCATCATTCATCTTGGAGCAACTTCCAAAATATGCAGATGGTACAGAATTCGCTATTAATAAAATAAAATAATTAGTAATAAGAAAATTTATAAAAGAAACAATATAAAAAGCAAATATTTCTATACATCGTACCGTGAATATTGGTCCATATCCAATCTTGAGCACACATTAAAGCTTCCAAAGTTTTGGGGTGAAGTCTATTTCTGTGTAGACTAAAAAATCTACCACTAGTACTGAAAGCAAATTCGAATGCCACAGTTGATATCGGGATGGCCAAAATATTTTTTGCAATTCGAGATAAAGTAAAATATTTGATTGAATTCACTTTTCACCATATCAATATATCAAAATCATCCGACCGAGGCAATATAGGCTCATCCAAAAAAGTATCAAGCTTGGTTTTCACACTACTAGGAGCTTCAACATTAGAAACAAATTTATAAAATTTCGCCATGCGATCTGATTTATTATTAGCACTAGCCGTCTCGATTTGACAAGAAGAAGTAGAAGACTGAGCTAAATACTCACTTGAATCATTCTTTTTCTGATAATCGTGCACCAACTTGTCACAAACTTGATATATTTTGTCAATCTCACTTGCAGCATTGTGATTAAAAATACGAGGATAATAAAACTTAACTAACATCATCTTATAGCTCGGATCCAACACTGCTGCTAAAGCCAAAACTCCATGAATATCGCTCCAATACTTATTAAACTTTTCCATCATACTGATTGTCATCTTTTGAACTTCCACATAATGAGATTCAAGCCACTCATACAACGACAGTTTGATTTCACAAATATTTGTAAAGAAGAGATTAGCAGTTGGGTACTTTGTTCCTGAAAACAATTCAATAACCTCAAAAAAAAATCTTTAACTTCTCACATATTTCTTTTGCTAAATCCCAATCACCATCACTAGGGAAACATTTATATCATGACTCCCTCTGTTTCAAACGCGAAAAAACATCCTTATAAATCAAAGCAGTACTAAGCATCAAATACGTAGAATTCCACCTTGTTTTACAATCAAGTACCAATTTTTTCTCACAATCAATTTTCAACTAACGTGCAAAGAGCTCAAATTTTTCAAATCTCTTTGGCGTGACTGTCCAATAAGCAACACTATCACAAATTTTTTCAACGCTACCACTAATAATGTCCAACCCATCCTTCACAATAAGATTTAATATACGTGCACAACACCTCATATGAAAAAATTCACCATTCAGTACAAGAGAATGAGTACAAAGTTGACTTAACACAATATTGATCATTGCATCATTTGTGGTGCAATTATCTACCGTCAAAGTTAGTAACTTACGATCAATATTCCAGTCCATCAAGTTGCTTAATAGAGTTTCTGAAAGTACATCAGCAATGTGTGGGCACAACAGATATATAAACCTGAGTTCATTCAAGAACAAATTAAATCAATTAAAAGAATATTATTTTGGTAAATTATGAGAACAAGTGAATGTAATGTTTTAATATACCTCATGATTCGACTCTGTAATTTCCACGCATCATCTATGAAATGAGCAGTGATAACCATGAATCCTCTCTTTTGATTAGAAGAGGTCCACATGTCGGTAGTGATCGAAATTCTACTCTCGATCTTCTCAAGTGCAATCATATTTTTGGCTCTCTCGTATTCATAGATTTTCAAAATGTCGCTCTTCAAAGTGTTGCGAGAAGGAACCTTAAACAATGGTTGTAGGTCATGCAAGAACTCTCGAAATCCAATGTGATCAACCATAGACAAAGGATACTCATGCAAAATCACCATTTTCAAAAGACTATATCTACACTTATCTAGATCGAAAGAGTAAGTACCAATTGTGACCTTGCCACTCGTGGCATCCTTTTTGAAATTTAATGTTGCTTGGTGAGTATTATCCTTATAACATAGTACACATCTCTTCAAATAATCATATGCTTTGTAACATTTTTTGTTTCACCTTCTAACTGCTTCTTGCAATGATTGCATATAGCCTTCCATTTCTCACTAATTTTCTGTCTTTTGTAGTGCTCTCACACAGTTGAAGTAAATTTTCTCTTTCCAAATGATATTTCTCCAATGTCACGCTTCTCGTCACTTAGGTTTATTGTCCTTTCATCCACATTTGGTAATAGTTCAACTGGATCTTCTTGCGGGACATTGCTCTCCGGTACATTGGTCGGGCTATCTTCCTCACATATTGGTCCTAATCCAATACTTCCAGCACTACTTGGGCCAGACATCTGTGCAAATAACAAATAGTAATGAACATAATGTCATGATTCACAAATAACCTTATTTGATGTCTTTTAACATTTTTCTTTCATTCTTAGGCACTACTTGGACTAATATTTTAACATTTTTCTTTCATTCTTAGGCCCATTTGGCAAAGTTTCTTTCGGAACTATTTGGATAATTTTTGGTGTTTTATCTCACTAAAACAAACTACAAGAATCTTTAAAAAAATATTTTTTGCTAGGGAATTAGGACCATCTTCATCTTCCCCACCTCTACTCTCTGTCAGCACACCCGTCGCAACCCATCACCAACACCCACGGAATCTTTAAACCATTATGAATCCCACTACCAAACCCCTAAAAGCACAGCTATCACAGCTTCTACACTAACTGAATCTCCAGAATCATCATGCTCACAAACACAATACAGCAATTAACACCACCACGAGGCACCACCACTCCTGCCACAATCGCAATATCCGAGAACCACCCAAAATCCTATCTTTTTAGTCCATTCAGCAAAGACCAAGAAGACACCAGATCGTATAACCATAACCGTGGCAATGGTAACACATGATACAAACAAATCATATTGACTACACCATCTAAAGGAATATCCACCACCATGTTGCTACTGTACAAGAAACACATAAAATGGCGAAAAATAATCAATCTGATGTAGATATATGTCTTCTTAAGTGTGGATCCATATAACGTAAGAAACTAGGGGGTAACCTACTCCTGAAAACCAGCAGGATCTGGATCCACCAACTCTGTTGAAGTGTAGTCTTCCCTGCTCACTCCAGAAAGCCCAATAGCCTGTTCCAACACAAGCTGAAAATTATAAGACTTCGTAACTTGGTTTAAAAATAACAGCAAGGCCCAAAAAAACAAAAATACAAAAAAGAGGACTTTCTGTACCTTTTTGTCTCTAGATGATATGATATTTTCCTCTGTTCCGAGGGCTTTGCCGACTGCTGCTTTGTGAATGGGTCGAAGAGACAAAGACTCGAAGTCGAACGAGGAAAATGGAATAGGAAAAATTAGGGCAAGTGTTTGTGGGGAACTGGGGATTTCTTCTGCGGTTCATTTGCTCTATCTGACTGTCTCTGTAGCCTCGCCCCATGACCCGAGACGGGGCAGCACGCCCCACCCCATCAACCCATCGGGTGGGTACCCGACGAGACGGGACGGGGCAAATTGCAATCACTAGTCAAAATCCAGAATCAAAGCAAATAAATCTTTAAAATAAGATAAAGTCATTTTTCTCTATCCATCCATCAATCACGATCAACTAAAAATCTCTCCTCTCTGCAAAATGTTCAAATCCCGTGCAAAAGGAAAAATTGAATTGTCGATAGACAGAAGTAATTAAGATAATTAAATCTCTTTTTCTAATACCAAAGATACACTTCGATTATATGATAAAATATTACTTTTTTTTCCTAATTATCTTAAAAAATATATTATCAAATAATAAAAATAATACTTGTTACAGTGGATATCAAATAGAGAAAACAGAATTTGTATATGATTCCATCTTTTTTTTCCAAATCATAAAAGATAAATGTGAATATTATAACATTTTTCAAATTAAAGGTAACTATGATTATATAAATGCAAACAAATAATTTAAATAATCACAATTTGCAAAATTGCATATATGGGAAATCCCTATTCTAGTCCTATGACGTCTATTTTCTTCTTTTCAACTCGTACACGGGTGACTGGAAAGATTTTCAAACTAATGTTAATTTAATTAATTATGGATTCAGGCAAAACCCTTTTAACTTCGAAAATGTGGACATAACTTATTCAAAATAATTATTTCCTGAGCCCAATGTGCATTATTTAATACAAGCTACATAATGAGCCCAATATTTGTATACTAACTCTAATTCTATTGAAAAATAAATATTTAACCCAATTAAAATTGGATTTACACATATATCGCTTTAGCCCTCAAATATAAAAATATAGCAAATAAGTTTGTTTCCTTCAATTTTTCGGGGCGTTACAACGTAAGATTGTACCATTGAAGCTTTTCTCATCTTCCACATGCCTTCGAGTTAAGCCACTCTCGTGAACTCATAAGGAAAACCACCATTCTATGGGGTTAAAATTTGATTTTAAATCGATAATTTTTAATAAAAATTGATAAAATGTGTAGTTGAAATGCTGTGAATCCTATAAAATATATGATTGAAATTAATTATTGACTTTGACTTAAAAAAAATTAATTTTAATTCCCACCAACCGTGGACAAAAACTAGAAGAGAATGACAAGAAAGATTGGCAGGTGGGTGTGTCAAAATAATCATCAAAACCTCGCAAAATCTATGATTTTCATCTAACTAATTCCACTGCTTGAATATCTTGTAATATACATTGATAAGTGCATACACATATCTAGGTCATTAAATATGAATATATGAGAGCATTTATAGAGAATAATTGTTTAATCTTTATAAATATTATTTATTTAAGTAAACTCGATATTGGATGAACTTTTAAAGTAAAGGAATTAAAATTGAACAAAAAGGATGAATTATTGACATAATTCAAAGAATGATGACCAACTTGGTACAAATTGAAAGATTGAGATTATAACGAACTTTAGCTGACCAGAAGAAAGAAATCACGGACCAAACTGCACTGAATGAAGAGTTGAGATCACAAGGGCATGTTTGGCCAAAGTATATTTCAAAATTGTCATGCCTTGCGATCACATGTTGCATACCATGTGAATCGCATGACGTAAAAATTCGGCCACCATTATGTTTCCTTTTTGGGTTTTTCCAAATTTGAAGAAGCAATTTGACCAGCGATTTAACCTACTTTGAACCTCTAATTTTGGGATTCCTCATCTTACAATGCAAAAAACAATGCTATGAAGAAATTCAAAATAAATAGGACTCCCATTATAACTTTTCGCCTCTTTTACGTGCCTCTTGACTTGAACTACTGTCTATAAAAAAAAGGATAAAGTTTGAGGTACAGAACTCCCTACCAAGCACTCACATCATGGGGCGGCGGGCAAGTGGGGTTTTCGCCAATTTTTTATACAAGTGGGTCCCATGCTGTGAGGGTCGGCTGCTAAAACAGCAAAATCCATAGAGAAAAATCAGAAAACAATGACAAGAAAGCTTGGAAGCAGCAACGTAATCACCAAAATCTTGTGAAAACTCGATATATTCACCTGGCCAATTTCCATATATATATATATATATATAGATATTAAGCGGAGGATCCCAAATGCAAGCGATACTTGTACCGGAGAAATTGTTACCTATGTATATACAAGGATTCTTGTCACCACATCCATCATCGCATAAAGCTTTAGCCTAGATTCCATGAACAAGACCTACATTTCAACAAGAAGATCATAAGGATTTAAAATCTCTCTGTCTGCAATCAACAAGAAAATCAAATTTATGATTAATAGGAAAAAATATATACAACATGCAAAAAGGTGAATTTCTTTTTCACAAAATGTCATCATCAATTTATTTTCACTTTATATAGTTATCTGGATGTTACATACAAGAACAGCTAGAAACTGCCAACCCTGGTGGTTCACATGCCTAACCTAGAAAATCCTCAAGTCATTGAATTACCACTACAAATGCAAAACCAGCAGAACCGACCTCGTCCCAGGGTGGCCCGGGTTCAAAAACAAAATTCGACACAAAAATACGAGGATGGATAAAGACAGTATGGGAAAAAAGAACAGCGGAATAACTTTTCAAGTTCCCACCATCATCCAATGGAACAAGAGTTATAATCGGTCCTCTTTATCTTTTCATGAAATCAAATGTCGAAATCAATTCGAGCATCTATTGGATCCATGTAATATAGTGTATTATAAGGCCCAGTTTCCATGTAAAAGTGCATACTAAGACCAAGCAGTGCTTCACAGAATTTAGGAGAATGCACCGGTGGAAGATGTCCTCCCTCAATTTTAAAAACCCAAGCGCAAGTGCCAATCACAGAATGCCCTTGTTTATCAATAGATTCCACAAGCAGAGGTTACACTCAAAATGAATGTTCCCAGCTCTCATAGCAAAGTAAGCAATCATCTTTCTGTAGGATAGAAATAATCTTGTCCCCCCAAATCTAACCACGCCCCCAACTCCCAAGCCCCCTGAAAAATAGAACAATGGCACACTGTCTCAAGAGTTGATGCCAATTTGTGAGCATTTTGAGTCCACCGCACACATTGACCACCGTAATAATATAATATCAAAATATGCATAAATTCTCACAAGAAAATTTTCCATGTGTCTTTCTTGGTGTTCTGATGTCTTTTCTAATTGAAACACATCTCAGTTCAAAAACTCAGGCACAATATAATGAAATAAGCAGACTTACCATATCAATGTGTTACACGAAAAGAGCTCCAGGAGTTCCTAGTGATTCACAAGTCTCCTCAAAGCAACCAAGAACGTCATCCCAGATGGTATGATGCAACTCGTGGTCACAAAGATGGGAGAAAGAGTTTTGTGGGGTGGGGGGGGGGGGGCACTGTTTTATGCACTTTAAAGTTTGGATGCTTGAAATAGTGTCCTTTGCTTTCTTCAAATTGAGTCCGCAGTCAATATATATGAAGCACCTGAGATAACACTTCTTTAAAACCCACAGCACAGTAAATAAATGTGACGACTTCATTTTCTGAGATCAAAAGGAGATTGACACAGTGGACAGGTCGATTTGTGAGAAGTTGAAAACCACTCGTAGAGGCAGTCAGAATGGAGTTTATGCTTGCAGGTCTTACAAGCAAGGCATGGCAAGCTATAATTTTCAGAGTGTATGAGACTATAACAGATAGGACACTCCTCAAAATTGCTCTTCCATATCTGTATTGCTTCAGCTAAGGCTCCATTCTGTACCATTCACACACATCATCAACCTCCAGATTTCAAAACGCAGAATGCTCACAAAGTATAAAAACATGTAAACTATGCTGAAGACTTCTTGGCATATAGGAGGACCATGAAGTTCATAACTAATCAATGTTTGCAGTACGGCCAAAATTTTCTTATGTATGAATAACAAAAAACGAATTCAGACATGTTCAACACAAATATTCCACCACCAAAAAGATCTTGCACTTGCAATTTTCCCGGGGATAAATATAATGATACACACGTGGTCCTCTCTAAAAATATTAAGCTTTTGGATGAAGGGGTACAAAATGTTATTAGAACCACACCCAAAAAAAAAAAAAAAAAAAAAAAAAAAAAAAAAAAAAAGAAAAAGAAAAAAGGGATCAAAGAAATAATTCAACCCCTTTAAAGCTCAAACAAGCGATCAGATTTCAGGATCAGTGTTATCCAATGAGCAACCATACCATCTTGTGTTGGCACGTCAAGGGTAAATCCCACATCGGTTAGATATGAAACACTACCCAACATATAAGAGATTAAACTACTTGTAATCAAGTAGATTTTTTAAGATGAACACCCAAGTCATATACGGTGTGACATGCAAAGGTCCTGAATCCAATTCTGACCGCCACCTATTTGATGAAATTGTATACATGTCAATCTTTGATGGATAAAAATTAGTCCACATATATTTGACAGGGCATGTTAAAGACTATTTAAATGATATACAATAGCCCTTTCTAATAAATAAAGCTTTAGATTAAGAATCTGTTTTATTTTTATAAGGGCTAAAATCACTTATTTTGGCTTTTTTTGCCCCGTATTGTAGGGTGGTTCGACAATACAACACAATCATTCACTTCAAAAAAACTTCTTATCATTTTTCAAGCACTAACCCACTTAATAGGGGTATATTTGACTTCACATTCATGTAGTAGAACCTCATTGCACTTTAATTTAATGAGGGGTACAATAGAAAATTAGATACAGAGAGTTCGGTAGTTGGGGTGGGGTGAGGGGAATCTCATATGATCAATCTGGGATGTAGGACTAGAACCAGAAACATCATGTAGAAGATGTGGGCGAATCTCAAATGATCAATCTGGGATGTAGGACTCGAACCAGATACATCATGTGAATTAGTTTTATTCATCCTTGGGTCCTGTATTTATATACAAACAAGTAGGAAAAACAAGGAAAATAATCTCCTAAATTAAGAGAGCTAATAATCCTACCCAACTATGGAAATAATTAAATATGGTACACCAACAATTCTATCAATCCCTAATCTTCTATAATCATTCGGCTTTCTACACTCCCCCTCAAATTGGATGGTAGATGTTGATCATATCTAACTTGCAAATGAACTTGTCAAAGACTTGTCTAGGTAGTCCTTTGGTGAAGATACCTATTGTCTGCTCTTTTGTAGTGACGTAGGTCATACAAATCACTCCATTTTTGACATTTTCTTTAATAAAGTGTATGTCCACTTCTACATGTTTAGTTTTATCGTGTTGCACTATATTCAGTGAGATATTGATCGATGTCTTGTAATCACAGTATAGTTTGTTTAGAAGTTTTACACTAATTTGTAATTCTTCCAAAAGTTTCTTTAACCACAATCTTTCGCAAATTTCTTGGGCCATTGATCTAACTTCAATTTTTACATTGCATCTTGCTACAAAATTCTGTTTTTTCCTTCTCGAAGTTACTAAATTGCCCCATAATTAGCTACAGTAACCAGTTGTTGATCTCCGGTCTTCTACACAACCAGTCGAGTCAGCACTAGTAATACTTCTACTCTATTCCTCTCATTTTTCTTGAAAAATAGTCCCTTTCCTTAAAAACCTTTCATGTACTTGAGGATTTTATATATTGCTTCCATATGTGTTTCCTTTGATGAGTGCATATGATGACTTACCATACTGCGAATACAATATATGTCATAATATGAGATATATTAACTTTCCAACTTATCTTTCTTTCTCAATTGACTCCAATGTTTTTTGCCATTCTTCCAACAGCAATTGGTGTGTTGCTTGGTTTACATCCAAGAATACATATTTCTAATAGGAGGTAATGAATATATTTTCATTGTGAAACACTAATACCTTTTTTTAACCTCGCAACTTCTATTCTCAGAAAATATTGCATTTGTCCTAGGTCTTTTACCTTAAATTCAGTTGCTAGTTGTTTCTTCAGTCTTTCCATCTCAACATTGCTGTCTCTAGTTAGAATTATATTATCAATGTATACAATTAAGATTGTTTTTCTTCCACTCTTTGATATTTGGAAGAACATATTCACTACTAAAAAATAGAGTTTCAGGCACGGATTTTTCGTTCCTAAAGCCTCAATATCCGTTGCTAATAATCTTCACCAACGGAATATTTGCAACCAAAAATCCGTTGGTAAGTTGATGGTCGCTGATAGTTACCAACGGATCATGCCGTAGGTAAAGAATAAACATTTTACCAACGGATTTTCCGTTAGTAAAGTGTAAATCTTTTACCAATGAAATTTTCGTTGGTAAAAGTCTTAACCAATATCAACCGACTTTCCGTTGGTAAATGTCTACCACTACAACTGGTAAAAATCAATGTTGTAAATAATCGTATGGTAAAAAAGTTATTTATTTGTTTTTTATTATTATTATTATTATTATTATTATTATTATTATTATTATTTATTTATTTAATAATTATAATATTTTTTATTTTTAGCCAACTGAATTGAAAGGCCAAAATATTATTTAATTCCTTATTGGACCACAAATTTATAGAGGGCAACTACAAAGATATTGTTGCAAACTTCTAATGTGGGATAAGTGAATTATTTTTACCAACAGATAATCCGTTTCTCATTACCAACGGAATATCCGTTACTAAAAGATCAAAATATTAAACGGTTATATTAGGCACGAAATATTCGTTGGTAAAGAGATATTATTTTTACTAACGGATAATCCGTTTCTAATTACCAACGGAATATCCGTAGGTAAAATACCAAAATGTTAAACGATTATATTAGGCACGGAATATCCATTGGTAAAGAGATATCATCTTTACCAATGAAAAATTCGTTGCTAATTATTGTAGCTAAAAGTGAATTACTTTTACTAACGGATAATCCGTTTCTAATTACCAATAGATGCAATCCGTTGGTAATATTCGGTTCATCACCTACGGAACATCCGTTGGAGAAAGATCCAAATGTTAAACGATTACATTAAACATGGAATATCGGTTGATAAAGAGATATCATCTTTACCAACGGAAAATTCATTGCTAATTATCGTAGCTAAAAGTGAATTACTTTTACCAACGGATAATCCATTTCTAATCACTAACGGATGCAATCCGTTGGTAATTTTTCGTAGGTGAAAAGCTATTTTTTAGTAGTGATTGTGATTGAACTATCCCTATCTTTTCAACACCTTAGCAAATCGATAAAATCATGCTATTGGTGACTGTTTAAGACCATATAGAGATTTTTTGAGTTTACGGACTAGATTTTCTTCATGTAAGGAGAAGCCTAGTAACAGTGTCATGAACGCTTCCTCTTCTAATTCTTCATTTAGAAATGCATTTTTAATGTTGAGTTTTTGAACTAGCCAGTCTAAGTTGACTATTAGAAATACTGATGCAAATGTTTCTGTATAATCTATGTCATAAGTTTGTATGTATCATTTTGCCACAAGGCAAGCTTTATATCTTTTTATTATCCCATCAGCTTTATATTTCACATTGAACACTCATTTTCCCACGTCCCAAGGTATTTTTTTTTTTTTTTTTTTGTAAAGCTTGCATTTATTCGATCACTGCTTTTCTCCATGTAGGAATTTCCAAGGTTCCTAAATGTTTCTTGGAATTGTTTTATTGTCAAGGTTAGCAGTAAAAGTACAAATCTCATAGATAAAGCATTATAAGATATGAATTTTGAGATGGGGCGAAGAGTACATGACCGAGTTTTTTTCTGAGTGCAATGAGTAGGTTGATATCAGGATATTCAGACTTATGAGGACCTAGAGCTATAATCGATTCTAACTCTCTTGGTGCTTCTGGTATCGGTTTTTTCCTTTGATTTTGGCTTCCTCGAGTAAACCAATATCTCCTTATTTTTTTGTTTCCCTGCATCTCCCCCAGAATTCACATTTTGTTCTATATGTGACATATTGGAAATTGATGGTCTGATGGAATCTGATTCTATTGAGGTATGGGTAGGAGGGGGAGAGCAAAATCTATAATCCGATCTTTACTCAAATTCTCCCCCTGAAGAGAGTTTTTAAAAATAAGGTGTATTTTCAAAAAATGTAACATGAAGGCTTACAAATATCTCTTTTGTGGATGAATCATAACATTTGTAGTCTTTTTGAGTAGAGGAGTACCCAATGAATACACATTTATTTGCATGAGTCTAGTTAATCCAATTGTGAGCATGAACATAGAAAAATGCTATACAACAAAAAAAAAACCTTTAGAGGTAGATTAGAGTGTAGACAAGAGGTAAGGAAAGGTTTCTGAAATTTTTAGAGAGGTGATTCAAAGTCAAATGTACGACTAGGCATTCAATTGATAAGGTAGATAACTGTTAGGATAGCGTCTTCTAGATATATTTTCGACATTCTTGTAGTATACATTAAGGCACAGGCAACTTCAAAGAGATGTTTATTTTCCTTTCAGCTATTCTATTTTGTTATGGAGTGTTGACACATGAGCTCTAATGGTCAATCCCATGTTTTTGTAGGCAATCTCGTAAAATAGAATTTAAGTACTCGGTGCCATTATCTGTGTGGAGGAATTGGATATTACTTTGGAATTGTGTTTGAATAATTGAGTGAATGTTTATGAATACTAAACGAACAACATTTTTTTTTCTTTTTGCATGTAGACCTAACATAGCCGAGTATGATCATCGATGAATGTAACAAACCATTTTGTGTGAGTGTGACGAGGGTTTCGTGAAGATCCCCAAAAAACGCTGTGAATTATAGTGAATGGTTTAGATGGCTTGTATATGGATTTTGGAAATACACTTCATTGATGTTTTGCTAGTTCACATATTTCACATTGAAGTTTAAAGGAAGTTTTATTCGGAAAAATAGATAGAATTACATGTTTTAGATATTGCATATTGGGGTGACCCATTCGATAATGCTATAATAAAACTTCACTATCCCTAGAGGTACATACAGAATCACAAATTGCAACTTGACTTGGCTTACTCACACTGATTCCTCAAAGTAGTAAAGACCCGCATACTCTTTAACACTATCAATCACCTTCCTTGATGATAGGTCCTGAAAGATACAATGAGATGGAAAAAATTCAGCAGAGCAATTAGATGTTTTGTCAACTGTTTAACAGATAATAGGTTACAAGATAAATTTGTACATGGAGTACTGAATTTAGTGTAATAGATTTAGATATTTGGATACTTCCTTTTACTACAACAGTTGAGATTAACCCATCTGCAATCTTAATATTAATATTACCAGCACACAGCGTATATGTAGAGAAAAGTTGGTAGGAGTCCGTCGTGTGCTCAAACGCACCTGAATCAATAATCCATGAGATTTTGTATTTCGAGGAGGTAGTCAAGGCTCTTAGATGATTACCTTTATGAGCTAGTGAACTTGATGGACGGTGGGTGGAATGGTGACTTGAATTTTGAAGATCGGATAAAATTTGATACAGCTATTCCAATTGTTCAGGATTAAATGCACCACCTGCAGTGAAATTATTTTCCTTAGGATTTTCAATAGCATCAATTGATGCTTGATATCCTCAATTTCTAAAAATGCTTAGGTTCCAATCATTAGGCTTCCCATGTAAATCCCAACACGTATATTTCTTATGTATTGGTTTACGACAGTGTTCACACCATGGACGTCCCCTTTGTTGTTTTGGTCCGTTTAAATATGTTATATTTATTTCCGGCTTAATATTTTGCCCAACAAGCCCAATTACACTTTTAGAATTTCCTGGCCCATTATGCAATTTTTCAGCCCATCCACTTTTTATACGTGGAGTTGACCCATTTGGCCCATTTATCCACTTTTTATACGTGGAGTTGACCCATTTGGCCCATTTATACTAGACGATTCAGTAGTGGGTTTCTCATTCCTTTTCTGCCCACCAAATCCATTTCATTGAAATCATTGTTATCTCCACAGCAGTTTCATTGTCGTTGGCCTTTAACATGATTTTTCTACGATTTTCTTCTCTTCTAATTGCTGCAAACACTTCTCATGTAGTTCGTAATGGTTGCCCGCCTAGTATTCTTTCCCTAACATCATCCAAATCGCGGTTGAGGCCTGCTAGAAACTCAAAAACCCTTTCGTTCTCTACCCCTTTTAGAGCGTACACAGTCACTGATACATTCCCATTCTTCCTAAGAATGAGGTCGAGTTCTTGCCACAAGTTTGTCATCTCAAGGAAATAATCTATAACCTCTCTCTCTCCCCTTGTTTGGTTTGCCACAATCGAGTCTTTATCTCGAAGATTTGTGAGGCATTTTCTCCATCGAAGTATGTCTCCTTCACTGCCTTCGCGACTTCCTCCACCATCCGTAGGAATAGGTAAGTTTTACCTATGGACAAAATTGTGGAATTAACGAGCTAGGCAGTTATCAATGAATTTTCCAATTTCCATTTTTGAAGAGTGGTCTTTGTTGGTTTCTTGGTCTCGCCGATGAGGTAACCAAGCTTCCCTTTGCCTTCGATCATTAATTTGATAGATTGATAAACTTTGAAGAAAATAACACAGAAGACAGTGAAGCATTGAAACAAACATCTCCAATCTTACATGATATTTAAGGTGCACATTATCTCTAGCAGGCTTTTCATCTACCTATTTCTACATAAAGAGAGAACCAATGTCCAATGCTTAATGCTCAAGACGCTATGGGTTGATGGGGATTATATTCATGAAGCTTACCCTTGCAAGCATGGAGGCTGTTTCCATGACATTTTATGGAGTCAAAAAAACATGTCAAGTGGAATTAAACTGGAATCAACAGCAAACAGGAATCATGTCACACACACCTGAGATAATTCATTTGTATTAAGTGTTGGGCTACACCATGCTTTCGTGAAAGATTCAACAGAAGATGAAATAGAACGATTTCGTATGTCACTAAACCATCCTCGGACATAGGCAGGAAGAATATGAAGCATCAAACCAAATATTCCACCAGCAAATGAGGCCATTTTCTCTGTTCCAACAGGCCAAAGTGACTCTATGCAAAACAATACTGATCTGGTCCTGATGGCATGTGTAGCAGCTGTGGCTGCTTCAGTTACTGTTGCTGGAAGTTCTACATCTTTCCTTCTTGAGCCTGGCACCACGTACAATTCCAATTGAATATGTTGGAGAAGGCAATCCAGTATTACCGAATTGGCAGAGTCTTGCACATACTGAACCATTCTCTCTTTCAGAAGAAGTTGATGGCAAGGATCCTAGATGTGACAGAAACAAAGACCAAGCAAGAAATATGTTCACCTGTAAGTTCAACAGAGACAACACAGCCTATGAGGTAATGTTACACACAATTTAACTCCGCAATCAACATCTCTCCTATGCAATGTAATGTTACCTATTCCTAGAGAAACCAAAACATTAAGACATTGCAAAGAAGCAAAGAGCAGAAAGTTAGTGCTCACTGTTACATATTACTTACCCATTCATTTGCCACTAAATCTATTTCAAAAACCTCCTCTAGAAACATTTCAAGCACGTGAGAAATTTCTTCCCTTGAATGAAAATTTCCTTTAGAAGAAATATCAGGATTGTGAGGATCCTCGTTGTTAGACATATCACCCTTCACCCAAACTAGCAGTGTCACATTTAAAAGCTGAGTGCATCACAGGTTCGGCCGAAAGAATAACAAAAGCCACGTACTGCAGAGGAGGAAGCGGTTTGCAAGAGGAGAGTAAAGCATACAAAGAGCTTATGGGCCCTTTACTTAGTCCCCAAATCTCTATTGATTTCACAGCTTTGTCTCTTGCATGTGAACTAGACTCATTAGCTCTTGAAGCTACTAACTCCCAAAAGTGAGGATGATCCAGGCGAGATGATGCAACAACAGATGAAGCCTCATGGCAATACGAATTTGCAATGGCCTCAGCAACACCAGTATAGAAAAATAAACAAAGAATACCATCTAGAATTCGATTGTTGATGACCTCCCACCTCTCAATCTTCAAAGGGTTTGAATTTTCAGCATACTCTTTCTTTTGGAATCCCACGAGGCCACAAAATAGAGAGAAGGCAATAAGTGCATTTGTTGCAATTTTTACGGGAAAAAGGGTCTATGGTTGAAACAGCAATCTTAAGCTTCTTTAGAGTATCTGTCATATCATCGGAACTAGAACTGTTTGACACAGCATCATTCACATTTTCAGCAACTTCCTCCATCATAACAACAGTTGACTCAAGCCAAAATCTTGACCGAATTAAAACAAAATTCCAATCATCTTCATTGAATTCCTCCCAGCAATAAGCAACTGAAACAACCATAACTTTGACAACAACCTCTGAACCAATGGCAGCTTGCTTACTACAGCTGATGCACCAGCATGTTGTATCTGCTTCTCAAATAACTTGTACAGAAGTTCTTTCTCCATAGGACTGATATATCTCTTTGGTTTTAACCTTTGCAATTGTTCTGTTGCATTAATAGGGAAACAGGATATAACCAGCCGAAAGAAATCCTCCATATCTGGAAGAAGAGGTCAAATTGTTAAAATAGCAAAGCCTCAATGTCGGAAAACAAGAATGAACAGCAACAATACCATGGTGGCACATTATGAGATTTTTGCCATTAATCCAAGAAAAGATACATGCCTAAGCTTCAAGATATAAAGCCAAGAAAAACTACAATTCATTTCCATTTATGACTACTGTTATATAATCATATATCCACTAGAACACCAAAAAATCGATAATTTAATTATGAGTGCCCAGGACATGAATAAAAACTAATTGTAGCTTGCATTTACCTTCTCCAGTTTGCCATGTATTCAATGGAGGGAAAGATACGGTTCTCTCGAGCCAATCTACTGTTGAATCGTGAAATTTGCTTTTGCTGTAATAATCACACTCATCACTCACACTGGAGTCTACCAATCTGATGCTTAAGGGTCTTATAAGTATGCTCATAACAGAAGAAAGAATCCTCAAACAATTCAAGTTCGTTGTATCACCAATGTAGAGCTTATCTAGAAGCACATTAAAGAGCGATAGAGATTTGCCCTTCTCCCATATATCATCTTGAAAAAGAGTCAACAATAATGATAAAAGAGCTCTCAAAAATGGTTCATCAATGCCCTGCATCTCATCGTATGAAGCAGGCCATAAGGGACATAACCCACTACCAGCTCCGTGGACAAGAGCACCATCAAGCAGAATCCTGACAATGGAATCCAGAAGGCAGTATTCAGAAGAATGCTTCACATATTCACTGAGAGAAGGCAGAAAAGAGTGCAAAGCACTACCACCAACCAATTTCCATGTACATAAAATTTCAGCAGCAAACCAGGCTCGAGTAGAATACAGATTATTTCTTGTTAGGTCTTTAATAGGCTCCCCAGTTAAAGATGGAGAGGTAGCAGCAGCAATAACTTGTGCAAATCCAATTTTGGAAATTAGTTTGTCAACCAAAGCAACAAACAGGGTGTTTTTGGATGCCTACAAATAAATTGTATTGGTAAAAGTTAGCGTCTATCAGTTGTATCCATGTTTACATAGAGAGAGAGAGAGAGAGAGAGAGAGAGAGAGAGAGAGAGAGAGAGAGAGAGAGAGAGAGTTTAGTGCATGTTTGGGAGTGTTTATACCTCTTAAGCACTCCCAAACATGCTATATACAATAATACAATTAGTTTGGGAATAAATGACTGAAGATCCAGAAACTTAAACAACTGACAACATCAGTGTAGCATGAGCATGGCCAATATATAGCCCTTTCCAGATTGAATTTGGTGAAATGTACAATTAAGCATAAACATTCATGTATTCTACAATAAACTATCTACGACTTTTACTAAAAGTTATGTTGTGAAGAAACTGAGACAGCAAGTTCTGGTTGAAGACTTTCCCATGAATTTACTAAGCTATAGTGGCTAATTCTGACTTGATTAAAAGCGATCATGCAGCTAAACAAAAGAACGTATAGACTATACATTATAAACTCAAGGTGTAGAATTAAGAGAGTTAAGTCTGTAGGGTAGATCCGAATGATTTGGAATTGATTTCCACGTGTCATATGTATTTATGTAATTATATTTAGCTATAGTAGTTTCCCATTTTTCTCTGATTTGGTTAGACGTGTTAGACATATTATTTTCCTAAATTAGTGGCTAAAATCAAGAAATGCGAATCAACCTGTGATTTTTCTTCCTATACTTGTATATATTCAGCATTCTCTGTAATTAATAAGAGATAAGTCATTTCACCATCTTATTCTAAATGGTATCAGAGCTACCATTCTGAAACCCTAAATCTGAGATGGCCTCCGGAAAAGAATCTTCATCTGATGTAACCTCTGCTGCAGAGGACATCATCTCTACTCCTCGTGGAAATTCTGAACATTCCATCATTCCTATTACTGGGCATAAACTCAATGGACAGAACTATCTCCAGTGGTCTCAATCAACGATGATGTATATCATCGGCAAAGGGAAAGATGACTATCTCACAGGAACTGCAAAGCCACCATCCACAGCTGATCCCAAATTCAAAAGGTAGAAATCTGAAAATTGCATGGTCATGTCCTGGCTAATCAACACAATGGATGTCGAGATTGGCCAAAACTTCATGTTCTATTCAACTGCAAAAGAAATCTGGGATAGTGTGAAAGAAACTTATTCAGACAATGAAAACACCTCTGAACTTTTTGAAATTAAAGGAACTCTCCATAATCTTCAACAAGGTAATAACTCCGTAACTCATTACTTTAATCTTCTCACTTGATATTGGCAACAACTTGACATGTTCGAAGATATCTCGTGGGAGTGTCCTCAAGACAGAAAGAAATACCGCACTATTGTGGAGAAAGAAAGAATTTTTAAGTTCCTACTTGACCAAAACAAAGATCTTGATGAAGTAAGAGGAAGAATTTTGGGAACTAAACCTCTGCCCTCTCTCCGTGAATCATTCTCAGAGGTCAAAAGAGAAGAAAGTAGGAGAAAGGTCATGATGGGAACTCAAGGGATCTCTGCCCCAATTGAAAGTTCTGCCCTTACCGCTTATGGAGACCACAATTAGGTAAGTGACAATCGCCCTCACAAAGGAAGACCATGGTGTGATTACTGTCGTCAGCCTGGACATCTTCGAGGAAAGTGCTGGAAACTTCACGCTAAACCCACTGATTGGAAACCAAATAGGTTGAATTCTGACCGTAAAAGTCGTGGTTTCTCTGCTACAACTGATGAAAACCCTGTACCTGAATCCACAATATTCAGCAAAGAACAACTTGATCTCCTTCAGAAAATGTTCAACCAAACACAAATGAGTTCTAATGTCATCAGATCTGGTTCCATAGCCCAGAAGGGTACACTCTCAAGCGCTCTTAACAGCAAAGCTGAGAAAAATAGCCCTTGGATAATTGACTCAAGTGCCACCGATCATATGACTGGTGATGCCACTTTATTCTACTCTTATTTACCATGTTCTGGAAATCATACAGTGCGCATTGCAAATGGTTCCTTATCCACAATTTTCAGAATTGGAACCATTATTATCTCTAAACATATTGTTCTTAGTTCTATCCTATTGGTTCCAAAGCTGTCTTGCAACCTATTATCAATAAGCAAACTCACAAAAGATCTTAATTGTATTGTTAAATTCTCTCCTACTCATTGCATATTTCAGGAACAGGACTCGGGGAGGATGATTGGCAATGCTGAGGAGTGTGCGGGCCTTTATCTCTTCAAGTTAGGCGATTCTTCTGGAGTTCAAACTTTGACAGCTCAATGCACTACTACACCAGCCTTAGTGAGTCAGTCCAATAAGGATTCTATGTCTATTTATGTTTCATCCCATGATAATAATAGTGCTATCATGTTGTGGCACTTCAGATTAGGTCATCCTAATTTTATGTACCTGTCGAAATTGTTTCCTTCACTATTTATTAATAAAAATTCAAGTTTATTCCAATGTGAAATCTGTCAATTTGCTAAGCTTGCAAGTTCATTTCCTGCACACAAATATCAACCTTCACATCCATTTTCAATTGTACACAGTGACATTTGGGGTCCTTCTCGAGTTAAATATATTTCGGGAGCACGATGGCTCATCACTTTTGTTGATGATCATAGTAGGGTCACTTGAGTATTTTTGATGAAAGAAAAATCTGAGGCAAGTCCAATTTTCAAGAAATTTCACTTTATGATTAAAAATCAATTCTAAGTCAATATTCAAATTCTAAGAACTGACAATGCTAAAGAGTACTTCAACTCCATCCTTGGCACTTTTCTTACCGAGAAGGGCATAATCCATCAAAACTCATGCATTGATACCCCACAGCAAAATGGAAAAACTGAACGTAAAAATCATAACCTTCTAGAAGTTGCCCGTGCTCTTATGTTCACATCTAATCTTCCAAAGCATTTATGGGGAGATGCTATCCTTACTGCTGCATACTTGATTAATCGAATGCCCTCTTGTGTTCTCCGGTTCTATACTCCGAGCCAAATTCTCACCAAAGCATACCCATCTACACAGCTCATCTCTAAGTTACCACTAAAGGTCTTTGGGTGCTTAGCTTTTGTTCATGTTCCACCACATCTTCGCAGTAAACTCAATCCAAAGGCTATTAAATGTGTATTTCTTGGGTATTCTCCTACTCAAAAAGGGTATTTTTTTTTCCAGAAACGAAAAAGTTTTATACTACTATGGATGTAACATTCTTTGAAAATCAATCTTTCTACCCCGAAACTCATATTCAGGGGGAGAATTCTAGTATTGGAATAGGAGAAGAATATCAATTTTGGCAACTAGAACCTATCCCAGCTACGGCAATACAACCTGAGCTAGTTACATTCATATCACCATATTCAACCTTGCTCATTCCTCCTCAGTCAACGATCAAACCAGTAGAAATTGTCATCAAATCCCCAACTCTAAGTGCAGGTGGAGAAGGCAAAGAACTCCAAGTTTACTCCAGAAGGTCAAAAACTGACAAAGAGATAGAGAATTCAATTCTTCCCGAGCATGGCCAAACATCTAATCCAAGTTCTGACCCTGTGGATTCAGGTAACATCGAAAATCCATCTGATCCTATTTCCTTATCATATGATGATCTTGAGGTTCCCATTGCCCAAAGAAAAGGAGTCAAGTCTTGTACTCAGCACCCCATATCTAATTTCGTGTCATACAAAAATCTTTCTCCTGTATAACGTGCCTTTATTTCTAATCTGTCACTTATAAAGATTCCAAACAGTGTTCAAGAGGCAATGAAATGTCAAAAATGGAAAGAGGCCATAAATGAAGAAATACGGGTTCTCAACAAAAATGGCACGTGGGTTCTCACAGAACTTCAAAAAGGAAAAAGACCAGTCGATTGTAAATGGATCTTCAACGTAAAATACAATGCAAATGGAAGCTTAAATAGGTACAAGGCCAAGTTAGTAGCAAAATGCTACACTCAAACATATGGAATCGATTATCAAGAGACATTCGCCCCTGTTGCTAAACTAAATACAATTCGAGTCCTCTTATCTTTGGCCTCAAACTTAGATTGGTCACTTCACCAACTAGACATCAAGAATGCCTTCCTGAATGGGGACCTAGAAGAAGAAGTTTATATGGAGATTCCACCAGGGTTTGAAAGGAAAGAAAATTCCAGCCTAGTGTGTAAATTGAAGAAATCATTGTATGGACTGAAACAATCACTAAGAGCATGGTTTGAACGGTTCACAAGGGTTGTGAAGAAATATGGTTACTCACAGGGACAATCTGATCATACTCTCTTTACCAAACATTCGCCTGATGGGAAACTCACTCTCCTCATTGTATATGTGGACGACATCATTGTCACAGGAAACAATCATGACGAGATGAGCCAATTAAAGTCTATTATTGCATCAGAATTTGAGATTAAGGATCTAGGAAATCTAAAATACTTTCTCGGCATGGAAGTGGTCCGCTCAAGCAAGGGGATAACTATTTCCCAAAGGAAATACACCCTTGACCTGCTTACAGAGACAGGTATGCTCAGATGTAAACCAGCAGATACTCCTATGGACTCAACGCATAAGATTGGGATGAAGGAAGGTAGTGCTCCAGTGGACAAAGGAAGATATCAACGATTAGTGGGAAGACTAATTTATTTATCTCACACTAGACCAGACATCGGATTCTCTGTGAGTGTTGTTAGCCAATTCATGAATAATCCAACTGAGGAACATATGGAAGCTGTATACCAAATACTCAGATATTTGAAAATGACACCAGGCAAAGGACTATTCTTTAAAAAGGGGAACAATAAGAGCATTGAAGTCTACTCGGATGCAAATTGAGCAGGGCCCATAACTGATCGCCGATCCACTTCTGGTTACTGCACCTATGTATGGGAAAATTTAGTCACTTGGCGAAGTAAGAAACAATCTGTAGTAGCTAGGAGTAGTGCGGAAGCTGAACTTCGAGCTATGGCCTTTAGCATATGCGAAGTGATATGGCTAAAAAGACTCCTAGGTGAACTAAAAATCTCATGTAATGACTCAATCAAAATGTATTGTGATAATCTAGCTACCATCAGCATAGCTAAAAATCCAATTCATTATGACAGAACAAAGCACGTGGAAATTGACAGACATTTTATCAAGGAGAAAATAGAAGAAGGAATCATCAAGATGATCTATACTCCTACACATCTTCAGAATGCAGATATACTTACAAAGGCCCTTCCAAGAATCAACTTCGACCATCTAGTTTCCAAGCTGGGAATGATCAATATCTATTGCCCAGCTTGAGGGAGAGTGTAGAATTAAAAGAGTTAATTCTGTAGGGCAGATCCGAATGATCTGGAATTGATTTCCACATGTGTCATATGTATTTATGTAATTATATTTAGCTATAGTAGTTTCCAATTTTTCTCTAATTTGGTTAGACATGTTAGACATATTATTTTCCTAACTTAGTGGCTAGAATCAAGGAATGTGAATCAGCCTGTGATTTCTCTTCCTATTCTTGTATATATTCAGCATTCTCAGTAATTAATAAGAGATAAGTCATTTCACCATCTTATTCTAAACAAGGTAAAGAATAATGTGACTCCCATGCCCCAAGATTGTCAGTGTCAAAACATCAGTCAGCCAATTAAGTGCATATCTCAAGATATCATCCACAATGACTAAAGGATTTCAATTTTCAGCGAAAGCTTCATTTTGTGAGACAGATGAGGATGCCAGATAATCAGTTATCCCAATATAAAGTTTTGCAAGATATAAAGGATTTGCCAAAGCAAGTACAAACAGACAAAAGACCACTGCAATGTGATGATTGAGTGGAATCAAATTAAGCCCTTGTTTGTCGACCATTAAAGTAGGAAAATGAGTTTTGGAATAGTGTTTTTGAAGAATGTGTGGTTTAAAAGTAGGAAAAAAATTTGGGTTTACATGCAAACTATTTTATCATGAGAAAGTGTTGTCCAAAATAAGTTTGAGAAAAAAAGAATTCTTTGAAATGATGTTACACAAATTGGGGCTAAGAAACTTCTCACTCAAAAAATAAATAAATCAAAACAAAATGCTAGAAAAAATAACAATAACGCAGATAAAACTCACATTGAGAGAACTATTTTCAGCTTTAAAGCTGTATCCTAAATGATTATCTGGCATGATCCACAATGGCCACCAATCATTCTTCGCCAGGAACTGCTCCAACAACTGCTGTTCCTCAAATTGGTCTTCACAGAAATATTCAAAAATGCCACCCATCCATTGGCAGCATAAAGATATGATTCTATCAGACTCTAATTTAGTGTCCAGAAATATAATGCATTTTATTGACTCAACCAAAACAGTTCCCAGGCTGTTTCGATTATTTATGCCTAGACTTTTAAAGAAATGATTACATATCTTGCTACGAAAAGTATGGATAGCCTCACAGAAAATCAACCTGAGCTCAATTTCTCCCATCTGCTTTTCATCAAGGTCATCCTCGGTTACAGTTAACATATTATGTTCCCAGTCAATAATGAATATTGCAGCTAATATACCTGAAACTAACTCAGTTTCACCATTAATAGTCTTCAGACAAAAGAAACTACCATTTAGAACATCCAGGGCAAATTGAGCCATCTCAAGCATATTAGTAGAAGATTCAAATCCCCGGGAAGAATAATTTCTCCTGTGACTTAACAAAGAACATATATTCCTAACCCAGACAAAACTAGAATCCATCATGAAAGTCATCAGCATTCGAAATATTTCTTCATATATAAGAACCGATGTCTCTCTTGATAATAAGGAAATTTTATCATCTTCTACTCCACCACCAAGAACAGCACTGCCACATGAGATGAAACGAAGAAAGAAGGTAAGAGTTTTTCCGACAAACAAGAAAATTTATGCACACTACTAGAAGAATGAAGGGCTCAATTACAGAATAGACTATTCAGGGACGAATGGGAGGGAGATGCACAGATTACTTGTATGATCTCCATTGAATAAAGGATTCGGATAGTTTACCACCAAAAATTAACAATAAATTGTTTGTGGATTCGTATTTCTGTTCTATGGGAAGCAAGTTACCCTCCCAAAGAAGAAAGATTATATCAAAAGAATAAATCAAACTGAATGAAATTGAAGCCATAGGAAACAGACGGGAAAAACACTATTTTAAGACAAAGCTAAGGTCAATTTTTAGAAGTGGGTGAATCTTCTGCAAAGCATTTAAATATCTTATCATTCTTCTAAGTCAGCTAGTGACTATTTTTGTTTGCAATGGTATATGTTTAAAAGCTATATACGCTGGCTATCCAGCCGAAACATGTTCAATGTGCAGTAGTCTGCCAACCATCTGCACTTGAGTTAAGCTTTTAATATGGTACTATTGTACACATAACCTTCTCCAAAGTCTTCATATGTTGAAGTTTTAAAAATTGACTAATGATTAGAGACTTCAAGATAGACGTGTTCCACTCTAGAGGGAATACTTTTTCAATTACTGTATGATTCCAAAAGGGCATGATTATTCTACAGATATTGAAAGTTCACAGACAACGCCAAGAAGTGAAGGTAGCAGGTGCAAATTCTCCATAACATGCATACAGATATTGAAAGTTCACAGACAACGCCAAGAAGTGAAGGTAGCAGGTGCAAATTCTCCATAACATGCATGATTCCTCTCTCACCTCATGCATGACAAAATTTAAACACAAAGATTACTTACTAAAACGCCAACAGCTATGAATTAAATTGAGTAAATCCCATATCTATGAGAAATCAGCAGCAGTCTGCATTGAATAGTTATAAATGATCACAAATAATTTAAGATATCACTATTTACGTACAATAAAAAGTGAGCATCAGAATTCCTAAATGGAGGAAAAGAATGGATAATAGAGAGAGCAGCTGAATCTAGAAGCTCATGATGCCATTCGTACGCGCAGGATCCTTCCAGATGAGTATGCTTTCTAGTTCTCTCCCTAACCTTCTCTATCAATATAGCCAAGATAGATATTTTGTTGTCCACAGTTCCAGGACTAACACCCACTTGTTCTGAATTTATTAAATACGTAATGATGGCATCCCACTGCTCCGAGAAGCACTCTTCATCAAGTAATGCCAGCAAGAGGTCTAATCGAGATGCATTAGAAGGACCAACTTCTCTCAAGCACGAGGGAATAATCCTCTCGTTGAAATATTGCAAAAATTCTCGAGTCTGCAAATCAATGGATATAAGTTCTTGAATAATCTTCTGAGGCCCAAATACCGAAGCAGCAACCACAAGAAGTCTCACTAATTCTGGTGAGTCCTAGCGTAAACGGAACAAAAATAGTTATACAAGAATGTAATGAATAGCAAACTATAACATTCCTGACATAAGACTGGAGAAAACGACTCAATGATATACTAAGCGGAGGAGAAAAAGAGATCCCTCTTAAATTTTTATTTTTTGAGATGCAAGCAAAGAAATGTTTCACAACTACACAGCTCTCTTACATTATGCAAAACGGAACAGCAAAAGGATAGCAAACCATTGTGGACAACAGCAAAAGGATAGTAAACCATTGTGGATATCATTGAAAACTGCTCAAGATACATGCAATAGTAAGATGGTACATCTAATTATGACAAAAAAATATGAATTTTGGAAGAAAAAACTACAGAAAAAAAGTTAATCAGTCTCCAATTCATATTACTATACTTCTTCACTCATAGGAAAGGAAGATCTAGTTTAATTCCATACTAAAATGGATTGATGACATTTACTGGTAAATCCACTCATTTTATTCACAGAGAGGATTGCTATGCCCGACCAGAGGATTATTTCAAATTTAAAGGAAAATTATAAATTCGAGCAACAATGATTGCAGAATTAGTCATTTTCAGAAAAAGAAAAAAAAAATACCGAACTCGAGGATCGACGGCACATCAAATGGACAGACCACATCAAGTGCAGACTTGGAATTAAGAATCAAGCATTCTGTTTGATCATTATATCTCACGCATGTGAAAGCTACAAGTCTGTTAACTCTTAAGCATGAATTCTTTCTTCAAGAAAACCATGTTTCTACATGAACTTATTCTATGTCGAAGCAAATTTAAAAACAGAAAGCAAACTGATATGAATCGTCAAAAATAACTATAGTGTCAACCAAAAATCATATATTATAGAAGTTCTTTTCACATTCACAAGGTCCTTTAAAATTAGGTAGGCAAAATCAACTCATGGAAATCCCTGTACGTGCACAATCTCATACTGTGAGTAGACAAGTAACAATGGAATCGAATAGTAAAAAAATCATTAAAAAGTTTGAGCCAAAGCACATAAAAGAAACCCCAATAGCATTTTATTATAGATGTGGATCATGTTGATAATAGTGTGTAAACAAATGTTAGAATAAGTTGTTCTCAAGCAATCCTAGGGATCCAGTTTATGGAGGATCCCAATAATTGAACAGGATAATAGAACTCTAACATTATTAATGTAATCAAATAACTTCACATCAAAACTCTTAGCTATTGAGCAAAGTATACAGTAAAAAAAAGGTTAACGCCTAGATCATTTTTACTAACCATCGTAAGAGCTTCAAAGTTGCATTCTTAACTTACAGATGCTTCGATGACTGGGAAAGACTCTTTCAACGTGGGCCCCAATAAGTTAACCAAGGGCCATGATTCACCCTTCTGTACAGCATGTTCGTCCAGTAAAATTAAAAATTTGACAGCCCATTCTGCATTTTGAGAAGAGCACTCTGTTTGCCGAAATATATCCAGACAATTCCCTTGAAATGTTGAACAGAAAACCAAAAGCAGATCATGTTCCAGGCAATGGATCCCTGAAAGGATTCTGATGATGCATTTCCCAAGATTTTCCTCATAATCTGCTGGATATTTGACATTAAATGTTTCCCTTGACTCATTATCAACAGGTTCAGTACTACACTTGGATGAAGCGATAGTAGTTTCAGATAAGGATGTGTCCTGAAATTTTGAGCTGGCTGCCAGTAGGTACTCATGCCACAGAAGACCTATTACTACCGTATCAACAAGAGTACGCTGGAAACTGTAAATGGCTTCTACTCCATCACAATATCTGCTACCAAAGAGGAGCAAAAGTAGCCATTACAATCACAAAAAATAAAATAAGATTTAAGAGAACACAATAATCGTAATAAACGTGTATGCATGCTTGTGTATGCGTGTCTGTGTGAAGTATACAAATTGCTGTCTAACTCAAGGAACTCATACCTAGAAGCATTTCTTAAAGCCCAAAGGAAACATTCTTCCAGTCCCATGAAAAATGCCAGTTGGTCAGTGTTAGAGAAGTAAGACAACTTTCTCCCTGCCCACAAATTCTGGAAAATTTGAAGGATAAATTTCTCTCCTACAATTTCTTTTAGAGGAACTGTGTCTAAAAATAAAACTAGTGCTGGGTGAGACACTTGCTGAGATCCAAAACACCCATTCTTCAGAAAATCCCATAACCGACTTAGAATTATTCTTTGAACATTCAAGGTAATCCAGACGTCTGGATATCTTTTACTAAAGATTAGCAATGTTTGCCACATTGATGAATGGCATGCTGGATTCATTTCCTGGAAAGCACCAAGTATGGTCGCAGCTAGACTTCTCATATCACCTTTATTTACAACATCAGGTATGTTTTTTATATAACTCCTCAGCACTGAATATGCAGCTGAACGGATTGCTGGGCTTTGAGACTTTAGAAAGTCTAGAAAATATTTATGAGTGGAGAACAAATTCTCTGAACTAGAAACAGCCACAGTCATAGCCCTGGCTTTTACATCATGCTTTGATTCACCTATCATGTTGTCAGAATCAGACCTTCCAAATTGCCCAGATGCAAAAACATCAAGCAGTGTTGCCAATGCCAGTAATGATGAGGAAACTACCTGAAAACCAACTGTAAATTATATAAAAGCACTATAACACAGGAAGAGGATAAGATAACCTCATTGGGAAAATTAAAAGGAAATATAAGGAAATGATAAGACATCAGATCTGAAGAAAAATTGCTTAACATACGTATTTTAATTTGTGGGTAGGGATTCCTTAAAACGAGAAAATTATATATATTAAGCATAAAACATTTCAAAGGGTGATGTTAGGATCTCGGAGTTCAATCAACAATAAACATCATTTAATCAAAGATTCCAAGGCAAAAATGCAAGAAACATAAACCGAAAATACAACCCATTAATGGCCGAAAATCTGGACAGCAACTTCTCTTGTTTATGGCTGATTTTTAGGCTCAGGAACAGCTCCCATGTCATGCAAATCACCTTTTAAAGAGAGAGCTAGAAAATCGGCAAAGAACCTCCTTTGAAACCGCCACCACCGCACCCCTCTCTTCTACCAAGCTTTGAGAAACATCACCTATACTTAGCCACTATTTCAGGCCTAAGTTATCACAAGGGACACTCAAGGAGAAGCTCACAAGAAGGCACTCTCAAGAACACTCACAATAAGGTGCAAATGGAGAGAGAAGTCTTAGGGAGAAGAGAGAGGGCCGAATTTTAAGAGAGAAAGACTTGTTTTGCCAAAAACGTGAGAAACCCCTATTTGGTGGAAAATAGCCAAAGCTTCTTACACAAGCTAAAGCAACAAAAAATATCTCACATAGAATAAATCCCAGCCGTCAATCCCATCCAATGGTCCACAATAAAACTAGACAAGCACAATCCATGTAAATGACACAAATAGCACTTAAATTTAATGGAGTTAAGAGAACCATATTCTCACATTCTTCACCTTGGTTTTCATAACACTCTCTCTCGGTTGTGAATTTGCACATGGAAGAACTGTTCATCATCATCGCCCACTACCTGCAAGAAAAATTAACCAATGTCAATATGTAATAAAGATAAGCACAATTTAAATTTATCTGCATGTAGAATTTTTGTTCCCACATCAGAGGGATTCCTATCAGTGTGAATTTTAACAAGATTAACTTCACCTTGAGACAGTTTCTCACGAATAAAATAATACTTCACCTCAATATGTTTAGTTCTTTCATGATAAACATGATTCTTACACAGCGATAAAGCACTTTGACTATCAGTAAACATAACAGGTGTATCATGCATGAAGTTCAATTCTTTTAAAATTCCTTTTAACCAGGTACATACCTTAACCACCTCGGTTATGGCAACATACTCTGCCTCAGTACTTGACAAAGTAACTAAAGGCTATAGCTGTGACTTCCATGTTATACAATTGTCACCAAGTGTAAAAAAGTAAGCTGTGGTAAACTTTCTGTTATCCTTGTCACCTGCAAAATCAGAATCTACATATCTCTTTAGAGTAAGTTTTTCAGATCTTTTTTCATACACAAGACCCAGATTTAATGTACCAACAATGTACCTTAACAACCATTTCAAACCTGCCCAATGGGGCTTTCCGAGGTTGGACATAAATCTGCTCAAAAAACTTATAGCATAAGCTAAATCAGGTCTGGTTGTTATCATAGAGAACATAACGGAACCTATAGCATTAGAGTAGGGTCTGTTCCTCATTTCTCTAAATTCCTCCTCTGTTTTAGGAGAATGTGCACTAGAAAGATTCATGTGAGCTGCTAAGGGAACGTTCACAGATTTTGATCTATTCATACCAAATTTAGTTATGACTTTGTTTAGATAGGCTTCTTGGAAAACGACTAGTCTATTTTCAGCCCTATCTCTCTTTATAACCATCCCCAAAATCTTCTTAGCACTCCCCAAATCTTTCATATCGAATTCTGATTTTAAAAGGTTCTTCATCTTAGTGATTTCAGTCTTACTTGAACTTGCTAGAAGCATGTCATCTACATACAGCAACAAGTAGACCGTACAATCCTCCTTACTATCATTATAGTACAAGCATGCATCATATTCACTCCTTTTAAAACCTATCTTCAGTACATAGGTATCGAACCTTATGTACTACTGTCTAGGGCTTTGTTTAAACCCATACAGAGATCTTTCTAATTTGCACACACAGTTTATTTTACCTTTCACCTCAAAACCTTGAGGCTGACTCATGTAAATATCCTCTTCCAATTCCCCATGTAGGAAATCAGTCTTGACATCTAGTTGTTCCAGTTCCCAGTTGAACTGAACAACCAATGCAAAAACCAGTCTAATTGTTTTGTACTTTATCACAATAGAGAATATCTCATTGTAATCAACCCCCTCTTTTTGAGTAAACCCCTTCGCCACTAATCTGGCCTTATACCTAGGAGGATCACTAGGATTATTTCCTTCTTTCAATTTGTAAATCCACTTACATTGAACTATCCTATGATCCTTAAGTTTGTTAACCAACTTCCAAGTTTTATTCTCGATTAAAGATTCCATTTCTTCCTGCATAGCTTTTAGCTAATTTTCAGAACATTTTCCATTAACAGCTTCTTCATAACTAGCAGGTTCTATCTGTTCAAAGGCTTCACCTAAAGCCAAAGCAAAATCAGTCAAGTTTAGGGATTCATATCTAGGATTTGGCCTGATCTGCCTCCTCCCCCGATCCCTAGTAAGCTGATAATCTTGATTAGGTGGCTGATCATTAAAATGTTCAACTTCAACTGGTTCAATGTTATCTTGAAGTTCAGTCACCTCTTCAGGTTCAGGTTCAGGTTCAATTATAATTTCATTTTCATTTTCATGATGTATAGGGTCATTTTAGTCATTCCCAGGTGTAGGTGAATTTAGCCTAGTCAGCTTCACCTCAGTCTCAATACTCTTCTCAGTTTCAGATTTGTTAGTTTCTTCGATTTTCTGTTTTAGATATGGCATCTCAGATTCATTAAAGACTACATTTCTGCTGTTAATAATCTTAATGCATTGGACCCCTAAAACCTATAACCTATAGCCCTTCACACCCTCGGGATACCCTAACATCACACACTTGACAGCCCTCGGCTCAAGTTTTCCTTCAGATTGGTGTGCATATGCAGCACATCCAAACACCCTCAAGTGTTCTAGATTTGGAGGCTCTCCCGTCCACAACTCCTGTGGGGTCTTAAACTCTATACTGCTGGACGGAGACCTATTAATCAAATAAGCTGCAGTACTTGCAGCTTCAGCCCAAAAGCCTTTTGCAAAGCCAGATCTAATCAACATACACCTAACTTTGTTCATTATGGTCCTGTTCATTCTTTCAGCGATCCCATTTTGTTCAGGTGTGTATTTAACAGTTCTGTGTCTTGTTATACATTTCTGCTTACAGAAGTTGTCAAATTCGATATTACAGAATTCAAGTCCATTATCAGTTCTTAACGTTTTAAGTTTCTTGTCTAACTGATTCTCAACAGATTTTAACCAAACCCAAAAGTTTCCAACTTAGCCTTCAAATGATAAATCCAAACTTTTCTTAAGTAATCATCCACTAAGGACAAGAAGTACTTGCTTCCACCAAATGTAGAGTGCTTCTCCGGGCCCCATAGATCAGCATGGACATAGTCCAATAGTTTGCTGGTCCTATGAGAGCTAGCTTCAAAGCTCACCTTATGGGACTCACCCAAAACACAAGTTTCACAGAATTCCATAGCTTCGATGTCATCTTTTCCAAGTAATTTCTGATTACTTAAAGATTTTAGCCCTTTAAACCCAATGTGACCCATTCTATTATGCCAAAGTTCAGTTTTGTCTTTACTCACAGTAAGAAGGCTAGAATCAACTGGTATTTCAGTTCTACCCTCAAAATAGTACAGTCCATTCCTCTTAGGCCCTTTTATAACTATGAGAGAACCCTTCATAATTTTCAAAATCTTGTTACCAGACTTGAAGGTATATCCCTCATCTTTAAGAGAACCTAAGGAAATGAGGTTCCTCTTTAAATTAGGGACATATCTAACATTTCTAAGTTGCGTAATGGCCCCATCGTACATTCTGATGGCTATGTCACCAACTCCAACCACATTTTGAGAATTATTGTCTCCTATGTAGACCTTCCTAAATTCAGTCTCTCTATAGTTATAGAACCAAGACCTATCAGGGCACATATGGAAAGTGCACCCTATGTCTAGAATCTAATTTTTATCAAATTCTTCCTCAGACACATTCATGACATGCAAACTATCAAATTCAGAAACAATAGCAATATTATCAACATCAGAATTGTTCGGGTCTTTTTGTTTCCTTTCCCAGTCGAAGCAGTCTTTCTTGAAATGTCCTAACTTTCCACAGTGATAACATTTCTTACCGCTTTTATCTTTAGATTTGGATCTCATTTTAGATTTTCATCTCCCCTTCTTATTATGGAAGTTAAATTCTTTCTTTTCAAGTCTTCCCCTAACAAATAGACTCTCTTCTCGGGAATAAGTTCTGTTGTCTCTTTTTAATTCAAGTTCTCTTGATTTTAAAGCATTGGAAACAATAGCTTGAGTGAAAGTGTCCCTACCATATTTTATGGCATTTTTCATTTCTATGTAAGATTCGGGCAAAGAGTTTAGCAATATGACAGCTAAATCCTCATTGTCAAATTTTTTATCATTATGAGCTAGACTCTTAACAATTATGCTAAAGTCACTCAAATTTCCCTCGACATCCTTCCCCGGGTCCATCTTAAAACTAAACAACTTTTCCAACAGGTATATTTTGTTAGGTAAAGTTTTAGTTAAAAACAAGGCATCTAAAGTAGTCCACAAAGTTCTAGTAGTTTTAGCACTATCAACTTGTCTTACAATGTTGTCAGATAGATACAAAATTATAGAACTGTAAGCAATTTCATTCATGTCTTCAATTTCAGTTGGTTTAGCTTTTAACTCATCAGAAAATGTAGCGGGATCATCGAGAGCTTTAGCAACTCTCTGTTGGATCAAAATGGCCCTCATTTTCTGTTTCCATATCGAGTAATCCCCCTTTCCATCGAATTGCGATAATTCGACCCTCGAACCCATTACAGATCCTGTAAAAAAGTGGCCTGTACTCGTGGACATAACAGAAAAGGTTTTGAAAAATTCTTTTCCAGATGATCAATATAAAAATATGAATGCCGAGTTAAAAACAATTTTTTAGAAATGAAGCACAACAATGAAATAATCCGTTCACGAAACACAGGTATATAATGCAGGTAAATATGCTTCCAGGTTACAAATTAATCACAAGAATTCAATCAACGGAACTCACAAATAGGCAACCAAGCAATAATCATACATAAACCGGTAAGAATATCAAACCTAACCTAACGGAGAGTTTGAAATAATCTTGCCAAACTACTGTTGAAAAACAGTAAATATATCAACAAGTTTCTGAACCGAATCGCTGTAGACGTCAAGCCAGGGACAAAATCATCCAACTTATTATGTAAAACCTGAAACACTAAAATAAACACATTAATACGTTCAGCAGGTTAAACTAAAAAATCTGCCCGAAAAAACCTCGCCGGAGACCGCCCACGCACTGCAGCCGAAAAATTCACGCGCCACCCCACCAGCACCTCCTTGATCTGCAGAGCACGCCGGTGGTCTCAGATTTTCCAAATTCCTTCTGGTTTGGCGGGAAATCGCGTTTGAAGGTCTGATTTTCACACAGATTTTGGACAGCCTTTTTTCCTGTTTTCTGCCGATTTTTCTGGTCTATTTTCTGCTGTTTTTCAGCCTCAAAAACTCCACAACCTGGCTTTGATACCAATTTGTTGGGAGTTCAATCAACAATAAACATCATTTAATCAAAGATTCCAAGGTAAAAATGCGAGAAACATAAATCGAAAATACAACCCATTAATAGCCGAAAATCTGGACAGCAACTTCTCTTGTTTATGGCTGATTTTCAGGCTCAGGAACAGCTCCCATGTCATGCAAATCACCTTCCAAAGAGAGAGCTAGAAAACCGGCAAAGAACCTCCTTTGAAACCGCCACCACCGCACCCCTCTTCTACCAAACTTTGAGAAACATCACCTATACTTAGCCACTATTTCAGGCCTAAGTTATCACAAGGGACACTCGAGAAGAAGCTCACAAGAAGACACTCTCAAGAACACTCACAATAAGGTGCAAATGGAGAGAGAAGTCTTGAAGAGAAGAGAAGAGAGAGGGCCGAATTTCAAGAGAAAAAGACTTGTTTTGCCAAAAACGTGAGAAACCCCTATTTGGTGGGAAATAGTCAAAGCTTCTCACGCAAGCTAAAGCAACAAAAAATATCTCACATAGAATAAATCACAGCCGTCGATCCCATCCAATGGTCCACAATAAAACTAGACAAGGACAATCCATGTGAATAACACAAATAACACTTAAATCTAATGGAGTTAAGAGAACCATATTCTCACAGGTGAAAAGAAAGGGAATGTATGAAACTAAAATATTGATTTCTTTGCTGAATTTTCACACCAAAATCCATTAAAGAAATTCAATTATCATGCAAAAATCCTGCTTACTTGTTCTTGTTTATCCATCTTGTATAGAAGCCAGGCTTATAATACATAACAGAAGAATAATCCAAGCAATATAATAATTGTATAACTACACCCTCAATAATCACCTGTTGATGCATCTCTTCCAATTCATGAGATGCTATTGTTTTATTTGACAAACTTTGCGAGGTAAGCTTTAGATCTTCTTCTATATACATAAATACTTTAGCTGCCTATAACATTAAGGCATCTAGCCTTTTCTCCTGTGCTGAAAAAGCTGTCTGTGCCATGGTAGAGCAATAAGATATAAAATTAGATAGAACTTCATAATTGTAAATGCCTATTTGTGGAACAAATGAAATGCATAAAGTTTTCAATAACATACCGAAAAATGAAAAATGATATAACTAATATCAATAACAATAAATGAAAGGAAAAAAATAAAGGTCATAACATATAACACATGCAATAAACCGTGATATTGAGATACCATGCAATACTGCTGTTTAAGCTGAAATAAGGGTAAAAGAAGATAAAAGCTTATCCGCTTCTAATCGAAAAGTGAAGATGATAGAACAAATCTCTCCTCAGTGACTCAGTCCTCTCAACACTATTAATAGATCATTGCCATAAAGGTATTCCCTTCAAACCCAGTCATCATAAATCACCTCACTGGATGATCTCCATCATTTATTCATTTCACTAGGGAACTAAATCTGATTGTAAACAGCTTTGAAGGCTGGTATATTCCAGGCATATATTCTTGCAATGATTGCATACAAGCTTTTTGTAATTCTCTGTTTAATGACACTAGGAAATTCAAGTAGATGTAAAGGAGCTATCAGCTTTTATTTAACTTTGGTACATCAGAGTCAGAATTTTTCAGTGATGGTATACTCTACTTATCTCCTACTCGAGTAGTTATTACACCCTATCATATGAGTTTATTCAATCTTTCAGCTCATCTTCCCCATTTATTTCAAGAGAAATATCTGAGATCTCAGTTTCGTTCTGTTGGCAAGGCTATCTCGTTTTTCAGTAATGTGCTATAGGGTTTACATAGAACAAAGATGTTAGAAAAATGACTAGACCATCTAATGTAGCATAGGTTAAGAAATTCAGAATTTGTGAAAGTTGAAAAAAACAGTAGAAGATGCAGAACACAAATAGTAGAAGAAGAGAAGAGGATGAGGAGAGAAGAAAGAGGGAAGAGAAGGAGGGGCGGTGGAAAAGGGGGAGAGGCCTGCAACACTCAAACTTCATTTCATTTCCATCAGTTCTCTGCCCATGCAACAGGCTGCATACATATATACAAAACAAAGCATAAAAGGGCTTGGCCAACCCAATACATGATACAAGCCCAAAAACAAAATAAAAAGGCTTGGGCAAGCCCAAAACATAATACAAGCCCTAGAGAAACGATAAACCCAGCGCGAGGAGATTGTTTTAACCCGTATAATGACTTCCTAAGCCTGCAGACTTTATTATTTGTAGTTTAATTTTCTAGCCCAGAAGGAATCTCCATGTACACTTCTTATTCAAGGTCTCCACTAAGGAAGGCATTCTTGACATCAAGTTGAAATAATGGTCAATCTAAATTGGCTGCAAGGGATAGGAGAACTCTCATAGTGTTGAGTTTAACAACTAGGGCAGACGTCTCCTGATAATCAATACCATAGGACTGTGTGAATCCCTTTGCTACTAATCAGGCTTTGAATCTTTCTACACTTCCATCAGCTTTATGTTTTACAGTGAATATCCATTTGCAGCCCACTGGTCATTTTCCTCGTGGCAAGTCCACTATCTTCCATGTATTGTTCTTCTCTAAGGCCCGAACTTCTTCCATAATGGCAGCCTTCCAGTGTGGTATATCCAGGGCTTCATAAATGTTGTTGGGAACCTGTATCTTGTCAAGACTGGAGACAAAAACACTATATTCTGGAGATAATCTTCTGTAAGATAAGTAGGTATAAATAGGACGATTTGTGCAAGATCTCACTCCTTTTCTTAAGGCAATGGGCCGACTATCAGGTGAGTCATGAGGGGAAGAGTCTGAATGAGAGTTATCTTGTAATGTTTCAGATGAACTTGGAGTTGGTTCAGACTCATGGAGTTGCTCAGGAAGTGCTTGTTGTGCCGTCTCCTTTTGGTGCCAATTTCCCTTGGAGTAAACACGAAGCTCACTATTTTTGGCAGAAGGGTCGGGAGGATTTTGAGGTAGAGTTTTGACAAGAGATTCAGGAGACTCGATGTATAAGATTTGGAGATTCATTGACAATGGAAGGAACTTGAGATGGACTTTCGATAGGAGAAGGTGGTTGTTGATTTTCAATGATATTCCAAAACTGATGTTCTTTTGATGTACTCTCCCCCTGAACATTGATTTTGGTGTAATAGGGTTGTTCCTCAAAGAAAGTAACATCTATTGAGTTATAGAATCTTCTTGTGATAGGAGAGTAACATTTGTACCCTTTTTGACTTGGTGAGTACCCAAGGAAAATGCATTTGATTGCTTTGGGATCAAGTTTGCTCCTGTTATGAGGATATACATGAACAAAGGCTGAACATCCAAATATTTTTGGAAGAATGGTGGAGATTATGCGACTTTCTGGACATGTTTTAAGAAGAACTTGACTTGGAGTTTGGAATTTTAGGACACGAGATGGCATTCTATTGATAAGACAGGCTGTCGTAAGGACAACTTCTCCCCATAAGTGTTTTAGGACATGAGTAGTGAACATCAACGACCTAGCAACTTCAAGGAGGTACCTATTCTTTCTTTCAACAATCCCATTTTGTTCATGGGTATCAACACAAGAACTCTGGTGAATTTTGCCCTGGCTATTCAAATAATCACTCAAAACAGATTTAAAATATTCTTTTGCGTTATCTATTTTGAAAACTTGGATTTGTGTTTTGAATTGATTTTGAATCATGGCATTGAAATTTTTGAAAATTTGCCCTACTTCAGATTTTTCTTTCATGAGAAATATTCAAGTAATTCTTGTGTGATCATCAACAAAAGATATAAACCATCGTGCCCCAGTGATATTTTTTTATATTAGATGGTCCCCAGATATCACTATGAATCATTGAGAAAGGATGTGTTACTTTATATGGACGACTAGGATAAGAATTACGAATATGTTTGGAAAATTGACACACTTCACACTAAAGATTCATTCCTTATATTTCTGAATAATGAAGGAAACAGTTTTTCAAGATAAAAGAAATTAGGATGTCCTAGTCGATAGTGTAATAACATAATCTCACTATCCTTATTTGCGGAAAAACAACTTTTGTGAAACTGACTCAAAGAGGCTGCCTTGTGAGCTTGTTCCTCCAAATGATGGTTGTCCTAGAGGAGATAGAGTCCCGAGTACACCTCAGCACTGCCAATCATCTTCCCCGAATCCGAGTCCTGAAATGTACAAAAATTTTGGAAAAATTGAGCAACACAATTCTTATCCCGGGTGAGTTTACTGATTGACAATAGATTACAATTAAGGTTTGGTATAAGTAAGACAGATGAAGTGACAAAGTCTCAGAAATTGTAATCGAACCATAGCCTTCTACTTTTGAATAGACCCATCTGCAATCTTGATTGAGTGATTTTCTTTGCAAGATTTAAACTCAGTAAGTAGAGTCTTATCACCCGTCATGTGATCTGATGCTTCTGAGTCAATAATCCAAATATTGTTTCTTTTCCTGTAAACATTTAAGGCTTTTGAGAAATTACCTTTCTGAGCCAGGGATCCTGCGGCAACAGTGAAAGAGCCAATGGATTGGCTAATCATCTTCCGTAGAAGTTCAAGTTGCTCTTTGTTAAAGAGAACTGGTTCAGAAGTACCATTTTCATTAATTGAGGATGTGGCATTGCCGCGACTTTCATGAGATAAGCGTGAGGGCTTCCAGTTGGCTGGTTTCCCATGGAGCTTCCAACATGCTTCTCCGGTATGCCCTGGTTTTCGACAATGATCACACCAAGGCCTCCCCTTTTTTATCCTGCTATCTGGGTTACTTGGTTGAGGGCCGCGTATGGCTAGGGATATTCCTTCCATGGTGGGCTGATTGTTTGGAGTTCCCAACATCACCTTTTTTCGGCTTTCTTCTCTTCTTACCTCCAAGAAGGCTTCTCTTAGACTTGGTAGAGGCTTTGTGCCCAAAATCCTTCCATGTACCTCATCCAAATCTTTGTTTCCCATTAGAAACTTGAATACCCATTTTTTCTCAATGATCCATCTATTCTAAATTCCATCATTCGGACTTTCCCAAGTGTGCTTTTCAAACATATCTAACTGCTGCCAATAACGAGTTAGATTATTATAGTATTGGGTAACAGAAGATTCGCCTTGTCGGAGATCATGAAGGATCGTCTCCTCACCAAATAGTTCGACGGTATTTTCATTACTGGAGTAAGTTTCTTTTGCAGCATCCCAAATCTCCTTGGCAGTACCATATAGAAGGAAATTTTCACCTATATCATTGATCATGGAATTGATCAACTAGGACATAACCATGCTGTCCTCAGCTTTCTATGATCTATATTTGGGATCTTTCTCTCCTGGTAAGGCCGAGAGACCTGTGAGATGATCATCCTTGCCTTTTCCTCGGAGAAACATGAGAACGGATTGAGACCACTGCAAGAAATTGTGCCCATTCAGCTTGTGACTTGTGACTGGAATAACACCGCTGCTATCTCCACTGTTTCCAGTCACTGGAATTTCCTGAATGGAGTTGGAGCTTTCTCGTTCGATTGTCATACCATATTTCGTCATAGAGAATGATCACGAGATGACAGTGATGAAAGAAGGAAAAAAAGATGAATAGAGCGAGGAAAAAATCGAGAGAATAGGCTGGAGAGGGATGATCAGTTCAGAGAATATGGCTCTGATACCATGAAAATCTCTGAATTGAAGAATTGAATCTGCCACCCATTTATTCTGATACAAAGAGGTCATTATATACAAGAGGGCTGAGTGATTTCTACCCTTATTTTTAGCAACTCAACTAATTCTTAGGCTGTAATTAGCAGAGAAAATCAAGGTACATAATTCCTGATTTTACTCAATCAACTAATTAAGGAAAAAACAAAATACGAAAAGATTGAATCTAGAAAAACAGTAGCTGTACAACAGATATATTACTAGTGGATTTTCAACAGTAATTAAAAAGGATAATATTCTGCTTATGAACCACGAAGTGAAAACCGGTGCTACAGAAAAGAACCAACACCGCTATATGCATATACGACACTTCTTGACATTTTGTGGAACTGGTACTCAAAAAATAAAAAATAAAAAAGACTGGTTGTAACATTAACAACTCATGCTCCTGGCACATCGTGAAGAGTCTAAAGACTACATGATTTTAACATAAATAATTGTGCATATACACCATAGAGATAAAAGGTTTTAAAATGAAGTAAGCACAAACCTCACAGCATTGACAAGATTAGGCATAGTCTTGTGAGTTGCTCGTCAAACTTCCCTATTGTAGTCCAGAAGCAGCTTCCTGTATTTGAATGCCTTGCAGAGACAAGGAAAATAAGCAGTGTAAAAATCTAAACAAAGATTATAATTGATAACCAATAAATAAATAAATAAATAAATGTCACTCATCCATTGTCTAGGCACACTACTAAAGACTTCCTTGAATTAAGGATCTCAAAGAAGATTCCATTATATTTACTTAGTTTAGTTCCTATTATCGACCACAAGTGAAAGTATGGAGATGAGCTTACCCATTGAGGAATTATTAGCACTATTTCCTTTGCAGTTTTCTGTTTGAGAAGTTGAGATAGCGATGTCAAAGCTTTGAGCTGTCAATGAAGCAAAAGTGAGCGAGCTAGCCAACATATAAAAATGGTAGTATCTTCAACCCAGCCATTTTGCAACTCGAATTAGAGGTTGACACCCTAGAATAATTTATCCTAAATCCTAAAATAATTAAAAGAGTAAACTTCCATACCTCGATGTATTTAAACAAAGAATTAAAACAAACAAGAATTTTCATGGAAGCATTTTTAAGTAGAAATACTAATCCCGCCATTAAATGTTTTATCAAGAGAATGAAACAAGAAGCAAAAGGAAAACGAAAACAAAGATAACCATCGAGACGAGCAACTTTTCACCCAATAGTGTCTAAGCATTACAATTCATTAAGCATTCGACTTCCCACACCTAGCAATCGGGTGTAACAGTTCAAAATGGAAAATTGATCACATGGCATATTACACAAAGCATTACCTTGGTAGTAGGGTCCTTACGCGATAGCCGCTTCAAGTGTTGTGCCATTTCACCGTCAAGATCGTTCTGTGCCATTATATAAATCATGATTGCACAGATAGGAAGTAAATTACTGGCAATAATTTTTTTCCAGTAAAATAGAAATAATATTTACCAGAAAAGAGGAGGCTTCAGGCATTGATGCAAGAGAAGAGTCGACTCATGAGCATCCAACATTGCCACCGAAATCTACGGCAGTAGCACCTAACGGCACTAGCGAAGCAGCCAAACTGCCAAAATTTTCATCAAAATTACTGATTTAAATTTCAAAAAGTCCATAACTTAATCGGGAAAAAAATATTGAAGAAAAGAACCTGCTGCTAGAGGTGCGAGACTTGCTTCTTGTAGCTTCTCCCTTTGGTCTTCCCATTCTTCTTCTGCTTTGAATTTATGTATTTATCACGATTGATTTTTAAGCAGTTGATTTGCGCATGTTCTGCTCTTTGATTTTGAATTGTCGGCCGTTGGGATTCCCGGCGTGGAGGATCGCGGCTGAGCGAGAGCGTGAACCGTTAGTGTACAAATATGAAAATCTTATTTTGGTTAAGGTGACGAGATTGCTGCCCCTTCTTCAATAATAGACCGACCTTTAGCTTTTCGTATTTTTTATTTTTCATTCTTATTGATTATCCTCGTTCTCTTTTTTGCAAACACGATAATGGTTTTTCTGACAATTAACTTTTTTTAAGTAATACTTACGAACAACATTATTCTTAAATTTTGTAAATTATTTAAATTTTTATAAATTATAAGTGAAGAACTAAAATAAGACATTATATACACAAATTAATAAATTATTGAATGTAATCTCTGTCAGTATCGCTGACACTATCACTATCAGTATCTCAATGCTTTCCTAAAAGACAGGATAGCCACTCCCCTTTCATACTTAACTCGCCATGTACTCTATTTTTCTTTTTTCTTTAGTGCAAACGAAAGGAAAACAAATCCTTACCTTTGAGTCTACCCAACACCGACGCTACCACTACCTCTGAACAATAGCTGTGCAACCAAAGCTTTACAACAGTCTTCTCCGTCATACACCCCACAACAAACACCGCTATCGCTTTCTCTCAAGGTAATTAATAGATGGAAATCGCAAAATTGAAGTAATGAATGCTATAAAGAACTCAGTTTTCCAACTATCTGTCCAATACCCATCTCGATTTAACTGTTCGTGGGCTCAATTCTTCCGCAAGTAACAGCTTTACTAATTTCTCATTTTTCATTCCCCATATTGATTTCAATCGTACTTAATTATCCATTTCCTACATTGGTTTTGTGATTTCTTCTTGGATGTGTGGAATTGATAATAAGTAATAAAGAAATATGGAGATCGACGAAATATTTAGGGATTCACGGCGGGAAAAGTCCTCATATCAGAATAATTGAAGTCAGTTTGGCGCCAAATATTTCTGATTAGTTTGCTTAGCTATCAATTAGCTGGCTGTTATAAACTACCTTCCCGCCATTTTTCTTCTCCCTATTTAACGTGATTGTACAGAACATTTTCAGTTGAATGAGATATTTTTCCATTTCTCAATTTCCTCTTCTCCTTTAATATGGTATCAAAGTAGAGGCTTCCTTAGCTTCGCAATTTGCTCAATTTGATCCGCCATGGCAAAAAAGGGAGATCTAGCTTTATCATCCATTTTGGCTTCATCTTCATCAATGAATCATTCTTCCATTGATGATGTCTCCAGTCCGTATTACCTTCATCACTCAGACAGTCCTGGTATAGTTCTAGTTTCACAGCAACTAACTAGTGAAAATTATGCTGCCTGGAATCGAGCCTTGACCATAGCATTAAAGGTGAAAAATAAATTCGATTTTGTTGATGGATCGATTACTCGACTTGAAGGCAACACTGAGTTGCTTAATGCCTGGATCCGCAACAACAACATCGTCATCTCTTTGATTCTTAATTCCGTAACAAAGGAAATTTCAGCTAGCATCATCTATTAGGAATCTGCTCATGAGATTTGGAGAGATCTCAAGGAGAGATTTTAGCAGAGGAATGGTCCTCGAATCTTCCAATTAAGGCGTGAATTGATGAATTTGACACAAGGACAATCATCCGTTAGTGCTTATTTTACCAAATTGAAATCAATTTGGGAAGAATTAAGCAATTACAAGCCGTCATGTACCTGTGGAAAATGCGAATGTTGTGGCAACAAAAGGTTGGTAGATCATTATCACATGGAGTATGTCATGTCATTCCTAATGGGATTGAAAGACTCTTATGCACAGGTCAGGGGGCAGTTGCTGCTCATGGATCCAATTCCATCGATAAATAGGGTGTTTTCACTCATTTCACAGGAAGAACATCAGAGAGCTATTAACCTGAATGTTGGATCTGCTGGTTCCTTAGCCTTTTATGCTAGAAATGAAGTGAAGAGGACAGGTATGGGGCAGCCATCTCATGGCAGGAATCAAAAGGAGAGACCAACTTGTACATATTGTGGATATGAAGGAAATGTGATTGATAGATGTTATAAACTCCATGGATATCCACCTGGATACAAGCCAAAGCAGAAACCTGGTTCACACAATTACACAGGTTTTAATCCCCACTCAAATAATAATGTTGTCAATCAAATTTATGGTTCTGTTTCAGACCAATCTCAGGGCAATACTGGGAATTTTATGCAAACCTTGAACCATGATCAGTGCCAACAGTTGATGAGTATGTTGAGCACACACCTCACAACTTCTAAGATGGATGATGAAGTAGCTAATGTTGATCATGTGTCAGGTACAGTTTTATCTGTTTCCATTAATCAAGTCCTTAATTCTCCTAGGCATTGGGTGTTGGATTCAGGGGCAACTAGTCATGTATGCTTCAACCGTGCATGCTTTCACACATTAAAGGCTATGCAAGATGCATGTATTACATTGCCTAACCATGCCATGATTCGTGTGAATTTTGTTGGACATATTAAACTTACTCTTTACTTGGTGCTGGAAGATGTGTTATATGTGCCCCAGTTCAAGTTCAATTTGCTGTCCATTAGTGCACTGACCAAAAGGTCTTCTATAAGCATCAAGTTTCTTACCGATGGCTGTGATATTCAGGATCTATGCAGCTTGAGGATGATTGGCAAGGGTAGACGGGTTAGTGGACTTTACATCCTGGATAGCACAATGAAATATGGATGTAATAGTGTCAAACATATCTGTAATTCTGATTCTGTTGTAATGAATAATGTGGATTCATATACTTGGCATAATAGACTTGGTCACTTGTCTTTTAAAAGACTAGCTGGTTTGAAGGAACAATTACATTTTAAATGTAATAAGGGTAATGAAGATGTCCCTTGTTCTATCTGCCCTCTTACTAAACAAAGGCGTTTATCGTTTGTTTCAAACAATCACTTATCTCCCAATGCATTTGATCTTGTTCATGCTGACACTTGGGGTCCATAGAGTTCAACAACACGTGATGGTCACAGATACTTTCTCACTTTAGTTGATGATTGTACAAGGTTCACTTGGGTCTATCTCATGAAGCAAAAATCAGATGTTCTTGCAATCATTCCTAAGTTTTTTTGTCTGGTTGAGACACAATTTAATAAGGTCATTAAAGCCTTCAGGTCTGACAATGCCCCCGAGTTGCAATTCACAGATTTTTTTAGCTCCAAAGGTGTTCTACATCAATTCTCTTGCATAGAACGACCTGAGCAAAATTCTGTTGTTGAAAGGAAGCACCAACATTTACTTAATGTTGCTCGAGCCCTATTCTTCCAATCCCAAGTCCCTATTCAATTCAATTTTGGGGAGATTGTGTTCTCACAGCGACCTACCTCATTAATCGTACCCCATCTCCTGTTCTACAAAATCAGTCACCATTTTCATTACGTTACAAAACTCCAGTGGATTATGCTTTTCTCAAGGTCTTTGGTTGTTTGTGTTTTGCATCAACCCTCACTTCTCATCGCAAGGCATGTGTTTTCATTGGATACCACCCTGGCATAAAAGGATACAAGTTATATGACATTGTATCAAAATCCATTTTTATAGCCAGAGATGTAGTATTTCATGAAAGCATTTTTCCCTTTCATCCTATCTCAAAAACTCATGAAATCATTGATAATTTTCCTAACCTTGTGTTACCTAAGCCTGCACTTGATATACCTATGCATCATGCTGTCAACATTCCTAATCATGATTCGGTTGATAATGATGTTCCTACCATGTCTTCTCCTGATTCACCTTCAACATCAGAACCCATCACAGAACCACAAGCCACTCCAGTCCATCCCAATCCCAATCTCAGAAGGTCCCTTAGGCATAGCAAACCTCCAGCATATATTTCCAGGAATTTCACTGTAGTCTTTTGGCTAATTCTCCCATTCCTCAGACCTCATCCCAGTATCCTTTAAGTGACTGCCTTGGCTACACAAAATTTTCTAAATCTCATAATAATTTTCTCTTTAATATCTCCTCAAACTTCGAGCCTCAATTTTACCACCAAGCTGTGAGACATGACCATTGGCAGGAAGCTATGGCCTCTGAGCTAGCTGCTATGGAGCTGAATAACACCTGGTGTGTCACTACTTTGCCCAAAGAAAATCATGCCATTGGCTGCAAATGGGTGTATAAAATAAAGTATAAGTCAGATGGGAGTATTGATCGATACAAAGCGCGCTTAGTGGCCAAAGGGTACACTCAACAGGAGGGCTGGACTTCATTGAAACCTTCTCCCCAGTGGCTAAGTTGGTGACTGTGAAATTACTCCTGGCCATAGCAGCAATTAATAGTTGGCATATCATCCAATTGGATGTCAATAACGCCTTCCTTCATGGTGATTTATTCGAGGAAATTTATATGGAATTGCCAATGGGATATAAACCCCCCTCCACATCAGGCAAGCAGGGGAGCATTAGGTTTGCAAGTTACATAAGTCTATATATGGCCTAAAACAGGCCTCGAGACAATGGTTTGCAAAATTTTCTCATGCTCTTATCTTACATGGATTTCACCGGTCTAAATCAGATTATTCCTTATTTACAAAAGGTTCTGGTAATGAATTTGTTGCTTTACTTGTGTATGTTGATGACATAGTCATCACCGGGTCCAATCTCCAAGTTATAGAATCTTTGAAATCATTTCTTCACAGTCATTTTAAGCTTAAGGACCTTGGTAACCTTAAATACTTCCTTGGCTTGGAAATTGCGAGATCACATAACGGCATTGTTTTATCACAGAGACAATATGTTCTCCAGTTGCTTGAAGACACAAGGTTTCTAGCTTGTAAGCATGCAGCCATGCCTATGGATCCTAAAGTTCGATTGAGCTCCTTTGAGGGGGAGTTGTTGGAAGATAGTTCTATGTATAGGAGGCTTGTTGGACGATTACTTTATCTAACAGTCTCCAGACCAGACATTACTTTTGCAATTCATAAGCTCAGTCAGTTTGTGTCTTAGCCGCGGAAACCTCATTTAACAGCCATCCATCATCTACTTCAATACATCAAGGCAACCCCAGGCCAGGGTCTCTTATTTTCTGCTGACTCATCCTTACAATTACGGGCTTATGCTGATGCCGATTGGGGCTCATGTCCAGATTCCAGAAAATCTATTACTGGGTTTTGTGTGTTTCTTGGAGATTCTATGGTTTCGTGGACGGCTAAAAAGTAAAGCATAATATCAATATCATCAGCTGAAGCTGAATATTGTGCCTTATCTTCTACTACCAGTGAACTTGTATGGATACAACAGTTGCTTCTTTATTTCCAGATTACATCTACAGGTCCAGCTTTGACTTTTTGTGACAACCAAGCTGCGGTCCACATTGCCACCAATCCTATCTTCCATGAGAGAACGAAGCATATAGAGATAGATTGCCACTTTGTAAGGGATAAAATCACTGATGGTTTCATCAAGCTGCTACCAGTTCGAAGCAACCACCAACTTGCTGATATACTTACCAAACCTTTACTAGCAACTTCATTGTCTCACCTACTATCCAAGATGGCTGTTGTCAATTTACATAATCCATCTTGAGGGGGAGTATCAGAATAATTGAAGTCAGTTTGGCGCCAAATATTTTTGATTAGTTTGATTAGCTGGACGTTATAAACTACCTTCCCGCCATTTTTCTTCTTCCTATTTAACGTGATTGTACAGAACATTTTCAGTTGAATGAGATATTTTTCCATTTCTCAATTTCCTCTTCTCCTTTAATACCTCACAAAGGTGCAATCTACGTTTGGGGATATTGGAAGTCGGGTCAAACGGGTCGGAGGGGTAAAGAGCACAACTTGAGGTCCCGAGGCAGCTTCTGCTGGAGCTTTTCTGTTTTTCCGCCGATGAAAATTCCGGTAGCTTGATATTGCTTGTGCCGTGATCACACTACTACAGACGCCTTCATGGCTTGCTTTTCACATGGGGTATGTAAAGTAACATTCCTTCTTTATCGTTTAATTTATCAAAGTTTTATTGCTCTTCGCTATGTTGTCATATTCTTCAGGATATTGAACTTTTCAATCAAATTCAATTTACTATTTTTCAAAAAAAAGAAAAAAAAAAGTACATTCACTGGTTATCTGGCGTTTTATATGTTTTCCTTTCTTCCTATTAGCTGTAGTGGGAATTTTAGTTAATTAAATAATTGGGGATAATAAAGTGTTTAAAGTCGTCCACCAGATTGTATAATTCGGCGAAATAAAGGTAAATATTAGGCAATAATACTGAAAAATTGAGTGGAGTATACATAAAAAATTAGAATTTTTGGCCTGTCATGTTTTTGTTGTCAATATTACTTACGACATTCTGTTTTGTGTTTTGTTATGTTGGACAATTCAGTTGATGACCCATTGTTAGCTTAGACTCAATATGATGGAAAATATGAAATGGAGTTTGAAGAAGGGGAAGGGGAAGGGGAAGGGGAAGAGCCCATGATTGCAACAGATAGTGTAGGTTCTATTCATTGATGAAAAAGTAATATGTACCATCATTAAGATTATGAAATCTATCATACGAATTCCTTTGGGTCCAATATTCATGGGCACAAATTTAACTAGAAGACATACGTCTGTCTTAGTGTATATTTCGTAATTTAGTTTGTGAAGTTTGAATCATATTGAGTATTTTCTGTCTGCAGGTCAACTTCTAATGTGTCTTGAGGGTTTTACTGTTTGTCATCTCGCAATAATTTACTGTTAAGATTTAATATAGGAAGCAAGTATACGATTAATTGTTCTATTTATTCTTCTTCTTTTACTTTAGATTGTTTTTGTTGAAAATATAAATTAAGTAAATAAGTTTGACTCGTATTATATGATGGATTGGGTTAAAGCAATGTCATATTGTATTGAGTTAAAACGTATATCGTATGAAATGTAGAATCAACAGTACATTGAGGTAGTTGCAATATACTATTTAGGCCGCCTTTTACATTATGATAAATGGTTTTCAAATCAATTTTTATAATCTATCTTGAAACATGTTGGCTGGAGTGTTATCCAGGCACAGTGTCTCTATTAATTGATTGTTTTCATATTTGATTATGTGCTAATTTGTGTTATTATATGCTTTTTAATGATAAAATAAAGGTATTCCATGTTCTTGTTCACTTTAATATTTTTTGAAGTTTTAATTTTTGATCCTTGTTACATTGATAGATTTGTACATCGGCGATACAATGGAAGTAGCCAAGACTAGATGGCTCATGCCAAATGAAATTCATCTCATACTCTGCAATTACAAGTATTTCAGCATTAATCTCAAGCCTGTGAATTTGCCAAAAAGTGATACATCTTGCTTTTCTTTTCCTTCTTCATTCTTCTGTAAGTTTACCTTATTGATTACTATTCGGAGTTTCGTTTTCTTTTTTCTAATTCCGATTGATTGCTAATTCTCTTTTGCCTTATTGAAGAGGGAGGTGGAAGATTGGAGCACAGCCCACTAATCGATCAAAGACAAGTTGTAATGTAGTCAATATTTTTTCAATTCTTGAAGCAGTAAAACTTCCACTGCACCCAAAGTTGCTGGTGGCTGACAATAATTTCCACTTCTCTTTTTTAACCATTTTCCTCTTAATGCCGACTACTTTCTCCTTGTCTACTTATCATTTTGGAAACAGAGAAATACTGCGTCAGGAGTCTACTATTCAAGTTTATGTAAAGCACTAACTTGTGACAGCTACTATTGAGAATTTCTTGTTAGATTTGAAGTTATAGCATTCTCTATTTATATATCGAGGACTTGATGAGGAGAAATATACAGCAAATTAACCATTAGGATTAGTATGCAAGTAATATTCTATTTCATCAACTATTGTATACTAGTAGATGTAAATAACATATTTCATTGCGCTTTACCACCCGTAATTTGCATTCCTATTTACTCCTAATTGGATTTCTCCACTTTCTTCATCATTTCTTCTTTTCGTGTGATTTTTTTTCAATATTCTCTAGTATAACTTAATCAGTAGAATGCTATGCTAGTTAGTTTTGGATGAATGATGAACCCTATTGCATATTTATTTTGATTTAAGACTATTAATTTAGTTATTTCTTGATATACCCATTGCATTATTTAATTAATTGGTCACCAATTAAATAATTAGTTGTGTGTTGTCGTCTTGGGAGACCCGCATAAGTTTAATACATGACAAAATTAACATATGTAGATAGAATAAAAAATAATTTTATCACATATGTAATTACATAGATTACTTATAATTCAATGCATTTTGGTCATATGAATCCGGACTAGGAATATAATTGGGTCGTGATTAGAATCGACTAATTTGTCTTGAAAAAGAGAATTAAATACACTAGTGTTATCGATTGTTGCAAAAGCATGAAATTGACTATATTATGAATCGGGAATTAAAATAAATGGCAATATGGGGATTCAAAATTGAATACAATCATTCACATATTTAACTATATATATATATATATTATTTTTATTTTTATTTTTTGATTTAGAATTAGTTTAAATAACAAAAAAAATTACGTCTTTTATGTCACAAACATCAAATTTAGTAGTAACTAGTGAACTAGAATTAAACATTATTCCTCATAGGACGATAATTTATAACTCACTTTATTGTTAATTGTTAATGATCTCGTGCATTTGCAGGTTTCAAGCGAACAAGTAGTAAACATAAATCAAAGAAATTGAGCTTTTATTTTCAACAACTAAAATAGATGTATTGACTACTTTCATTTATTTTTATTTATTTATTATTATTCTTTTAAAATAATCTAAACGACTAAAATAGCAAAAACTGTTGCTGTAGGGACGATTTTTTTTTTTTTTTTTTTTTTTTTTTTTTGGGGGGATGCCTTGTGTGCTGTTTTGAGTACTTTATATTTGAAGGTGGAAATTGATATTGTATGTGGACGAGATGGGTGGTGGCAGGCGATGGGATGTACAAGATTGATTGGAATTTTTGGATTTCAGGACGAAGGATGTTAGGCTAAAGGAAAACGAATTGCTATTAAAGAATGAATTCAAATCAAATATATTTTAAATCAAACTCCTACTTAAAATCCTAATTAAAATATATCTGTATTCTGATCTCTATCTTGATCTCCATCAATACAATTTCCATAATCTCGATTTTTGGTTTTAAAAATTCAACATCTTGTAACAGATTATCATCACTTAGTTCATTAAGAAATATTTAGGAACAGTTACTGTATTTTCGTTGCAGCAGCTTTTTATTCTTTACATATTTAGTACCGAAGTTGTATTTCACAAACAACTCCTATGAAGAGACTGGTTTTCTGTATTTTCTTTTAGTGGGCTTAAATGTGACCAATGGCTGTATTTGAATTCTTGGTTGTATTGATGAATATAAAACTGCTTTTACATTTGATGGCCATTTAATATGGCATTAGAGTACGTAAGATCATTGCTACCTCTGATGGTATTTGGACATAGTAGACGTTCGGGAAAAATAAGCTTAGTGTGCATGTGAGGGAGTATGAAGACGACATGGTTCAGTTACGCGGTGATCATTCAATGTTCATAAAGTTGGATTTTTCACTTGGGTCTTGTAATCCTTTTTATTTAATACAAGACTATGATACATCCAACTGTATTTTGATCTTGCAGCAAAATACAAGACGACCAGAATCTATCTTTGAAAATACTTGTTCTGTCTCTGGAGAGTACATTGTATGATTTTGCTAGAATAGATATTCCAAGTCCTACATCTACCAAGGCAGGATTCCCCCTTAGACCAAACTCTGCAAAATTGACTTCATTTGTTAAAAATTTGCTTCCCCAAAAGAGTTTCAGGGATAAACACCCAACTCGGGATGGTGAGAAGACGGTGCTTATTAATATCACATGCTGCTTAGCAAAATGATGCTGGAGGGTGCAAATTTTTGAAGATGTGGTTCTTTCTCTTGTTCTTTAATGGATGTGTAGTATAGGTAGGTTTATCAATTATTTGGTATAGGTTATTGCTATATAATTTTACAGATTTGTCATCTATAATAAAATATTTCAACACAATAACATTACCTTAAAAATAACACAGTCCATGCATTATATGACCAAAAGACTAGTGTTAGGAGAGAAAATCTAGACATTAAGTGGACCAAGACAAATGTGCATGGTCCCTTTCAAATTCTAATTAAACTCTAAAAGTATACAATATCTCGATCATCACCTCTAGTTATTCTTATGATTCTCATTAGTTTCTTATTCTAATTCTTATTATACATGCTAAAAGATGGGTCAATTTTTATTTTTACAATTCTAATACTTATTATAGGAAAAATGTTGCATAGGATAGGTCAATTTTGATTGAGAGAAAATATGGGTGAAAAGATCAAGAATGATTTCGTCGCACATTATACCTTTCTTGCAACAGATTCCTTGGGGGTGGGCAGGGGTGAGTATTGCTAAATTTAGCTAACAACCACACTGTCCCAATTTGAGTCCTTTTAAAAATCATTTTTCTTCCAAACTTATTTTCAATTACACATTTTTCTAATAAAATTTCCACAATAAATTTTTTACGTAAACACAATTTTTTTTCCTAATTTTTAATTACACATTTTTCATAAGAAATCGCCTTTTACCAAAAAAAAATAAAAAATAAAAGAGTCTCAAACAAGGGTTGCAGCAAATCAAATGGATAGTTATTTCACATAAATGAAGAGTGGAATAGGATACAAATGTGTGTTATTCATATCCAAAGTTTTCTTCCATCAAAAAATATTACAACAAGAGCTAGAGCTAAACTGTGATCAGTACATCCAGGAAATATAGTTGCTCGAAATCGGCTCCTTGGAATAAACATTTTCTTGATCCCCAGCTTATGCATGAGGCTAGTCTGCATCAAAATAAAGGAACAGTTTTTATTTAAACCAAAATCCTAAACATGTTGATAATTGATTGTTCTCATTACTAAGTATAATTTGAAATTGTTAAGATGTGCGAATAGTACCTCGGCAACTATGGAATCGCCTTTGTAAATGGTGCAGGATCTCTTGAAAGGGGAACCTTTCATCTTGAGCTCAATCTTTGAGCCTTCCTTACTTTCACCACTAAGTGATATTTCAAACTCAGTTCTTGTAAATCCATCCACTGTCCTCTCTACTTTGAATATCAGCTCCTCCTCCCTGCTCTCTTTTCCCCTAAAACATTGCCATGAACCCTTCTACAAGACTCGACAAAAGAAAATGCACAAAATTTTCAGAATTCTAGAGAAAGTAAAGGGATCATATTCACACAAGAACGCCATTAAAGAAGGTACAAATGCTCTTGATTAATACAAATTATCTCATTTAGGGCCTGTTTGGCGGTGCTTTAAAAGGCCAAATGCTGCTACTTGAACTACGAATGTGTTCTTGAACATGCTTAAACAAAAAGTAGAAGCAAAAGCTCAGACAAACACCCCTTAATAACACATGCTTCGAATTATCCCTTTTCTTTTGGTTTGGACCTTTATGCAAACAGATACACCATAATTACTAATCATGTCTGAACCAGGTTATTTTAACAAGAATTTTTTACACTACAAGATCCACAGTAAAAATCAGTCATTATTTCCCTACTCGATGAATCAATTATCTTTACTTAATTCTAGCAATTACATTTCCTTGGCATTCATGAAACCCAAAATTGATCAAGGACAGATAACTGACATTTACTCGGTGTATGGAGAAGAGGGTATCGCCAGATGCATCGAGAAAAAGCTTTATGCAGTGTGGACGATCTTTTGATTTGTGGGATAAATGCTGGACTCCGTACACAAAATTACCGAATGAATCAGTGAAACCTAGAACACAACCGCTCTCAATTGCCTGGTGTTTCTTGGATACAAAATAATCGAATGGGATTTGGAAATTGGCCTGGAATTGATTCTGATCGGAGGCCTTGGAGTTTTCCTCCATAAAATGATTCAGTTAACAATGGTTATTTATGTAAAAATTATGGGAAAACAAGAATAAATAGGCAGAGGAGAAGGAGATGGAGATGAAGGGATGATAAATTCGGACAAACAATTGGGACTCGAAATGAAAGAAAGCGTGTTATTTGGTGGCACATGACTTGACTTTCACTCACTCATAAAGATAAGGCTAAAGTGACCGAATTGCTTGAAAGATGGGATGATCGACTCTCACATTTTGTGCGTGGGTTTCACATGAATTGAAAAATACCAACCCTCCATATGTGCTCGGTCATTCCCTATGTTAGTGTAGCAAAACCCAACTATTAAAGTATATAACAACAATTATTATGATTATATAAATAAGGAAAACAGTGAAATTTGTGATTTAACTAATTTGATAATGAAGTGCATGATGAGTAACGCTATTCATCGAATGTATGTCTAGATGATTAATACATATCACTAAATGATAAATTCAATTAAATGCAATATCATATAATTCATTCAATTGAACCTATCGACTATGGTCACTTATACTGGTGCTTAGCACCATTGTTGCTAGATAACATTATCCTTGTAGGATAAATGCCAACTTTCTATAATTGTGATACAAAATTGATTTTATATATCGTTTTGATATATGGGTATAATTCATGTAAGTTTTTGACATATAAGGTAAAATTTATGTACAATCTGCTTAATTAACTTGTGAAATGTCTACCATGTAGACATTCTGTTTGCGACGTAGAATTTGTAAATTCATTTATGATTTTGATACAAAGCTAACTTCACGTATGGTCATGTATCGTTACCCTAAGTCAACTTTATTAATGCTTTCATTAAGAAAGATAATGAAAATGCTTTGAATGTACTTTAGCAAAGTTTAAACAAGTCTAAAGTGAACTTATATACTATTCCCCATTCATGGATCATAATCATAATGCCTACAAGTAGATGGAAGTGGAGCATCTTCGTGTAGTCACTATCTGTAATTGGACTTCAAAATTTAGCTTCAAGTTTCCTCTTGCACTTTGTACGTGGCATGGTGATTGATTTAGTTTTCAAATTGCAGGCTTGATATGGTCATGTGTTAAGGATGATGTCCCCAGTTTAATCAAGTTAGCAGAGAGTCCAATAGGACGTCTAAAAGTTGAGTATTAGGATAATCGCACGATTTTGATCAGAAGTTAAGTCGACCTAATCATCTAGTTTGAGACGTTCATTATTATAGATATGGACTAGACAATATTTTTGTCATCCTAGTTGAGTCATAACTTCATAGCCACTTGAGTATGTTTAGGAAGTGTTTATAAAAAACTTAAATTATAAATAAATAGAAATAAGTGATCAATAGGTAAATAGTACTTATATTTCTGATGAAATTAGCCAAACATGGGCTAAGTCGAGCAGCGTATAACATCTTGTTAATCAGCACTAGACATTACGGCATAAACTATAAATTATAAAATCTAAGGATCACTAAAGTTTTTGTGTGTGTAACTAGATGTTCTGCAGAAATTCTTTGGTCTAATCTAACTCTTGAAGTCCTAGCTTCAAAATTCAGAGTGCTCTATCGCGGAAATTCACATGAAGCTAGACACCAGATATTCCACAATTTCAGTGAAGAATTCTCTGAAATATCCACAGGACTCATTCATGATGATAGAGAAAACAATGGAAATTATGCCAAAAAAATTACCAAGGAAATTTTCTCACCAACATCTAACAATTACTACAAACCATTCTAGTCACTTCTCGTGGATTTCCACAATCCAACTGTGCAAAAATGGAATATGCACTTTAAATGGATGTCCGAGTTATGAATATGCACTTTAATTTTTTTTTATTTTTTGGAACGAATAATGTTATTCATAGTCAACGACTACATTATTTATTTTACGTAGCAGCTTGTTATTTAAAACTTTAACATATTATTTGCGACGACAAAATTATAAAAAATTAATGCATCAAATAACAAAGTGTCATGTAGAATGTATAGTCATTGACTATCAATAACATTACTTTCCTTGAACTACACTAAAAATATTTAAGCCTCCAAATGCAGAAAGCACAGCTTATTCAACCTCAACTACCATAAATTTCTTAGCTTTGAACCATTCCTATAAGGAATAACTTTTGTAAGACAGTTTCTTCAATTGTTCGACCTAACTTATCCTAAATATTCCATTGATTTTAGTCCATATATCTACACGATGTGAATAAACTTAATATCGTAACAGACAAAGGTCCTATTTCAAGAAATTGGCATTAGTTCATGAAACTTTCACCATTACACCCTTTGATGAAAAAGCAATTTTAATGGTTCGCGAAGAGCCCTTCCAAGTTAAATAACTTTACCTTTTAAATGAGTTAGTTTGACGGTGAGTTGGTCAACTTTGATACTTTTATAGCATGTTATCTGAAGTTTTCTTGCCCTTGTCCGTATATTTCATTTATTAATTCTCTCATAATCTCGTGGACTGTATCGTCACATGGTAAGCTTTGTCAAATGGGACATAAAATATTAAGAATAGAAAAACTATGTTAGAGCAGTGTAGTGTCGAAAGTACTCGAGCGAAGAGGAGGCAACATCACTCTTTTTTTCCAACAATCTAAAGTCGTGTTGGTGATTTGCTTGTAAATTAAATATGGCATGATCATCAAATTTAAAAGGCATTTTCTTGATTTACTGTATGTGATTGCATTATATGTTTTCTAAAATGATTAGACTTATTATCTGAATAACAATGAATATGTCTTTTATGGGTTTTAGTTGTTAATCTTAGAGATTACACTTGAGTAAGAAAATCAGATTTTTAAGCGTATATTTGATTTTATAGGTAATTGTTTTCAGGGGCGGACCCACCCTGTTTTTTTTTTTTTTTACAATTTATTTAGATGCACTCGTCGGGATGTCAAATGAAGTCAAAATATTGCATTTTTAATACCATTTCGAAGTGCTCATGATCTAGTTTTTTTACTCATTAATGGCATGCGAAGTAGTCAACTATAGCAAAAGTTACGACATGTTAAAGTAAGACGTTTGAAATTAGTATTTTGAGAATTTCGATAATATCATAACTTTAAAAATTCGTTTGCGATCATGTGCTATCTGAATCCACAAATCGTCTATACCATGTAAAAGTTTGTTTCGAAAACTATATAGTTTTCATATCGAATGGGACAAACGGATATCGAAAATAGTTAAATATGTATCAAACGTACGCCTCAAAAAAGATTTCTAACTCGTTTTTTATTTTAAAAAATTCAAGTAATTATTATTTTTGCACGATAAATTTTTCAATATAATTTATATTATTTCATTTGGAAGTCTTATATGAAATATGACGTAAATTTTTTAGGGTCGTTATGAATTAAATGCAATTTGAAGTACTTTCGAATTATATTTTCTTTAAATTTGAATTTCATTTATTTCCTGAACTAAACTTGAATTTAATTTCAATTCATTTAATTTCTATATTCAATTTAATTTACTCAATGTTAGCTCAGCATTTACCAATGAAATGATAAACAAAACTATACAAGTAGCAATATTTATTTAATAATATTAGTAATAATGTAATTATACGACATTTTCAAAGTGTCAAAATATATATAAACTTATTTTCATTGATTTATGTTGTTTATTAAAAAAATTATTTTTAAAATTTTGACCCCACAATACTAAAGGTTTGGGCCTGCCCCTGATTGTTTTAGCGTTTTGTAGCATTATTTGAGTTCTTCAGTTAAATGATATTTGTATAAAACTTAAGCAGCTTATTAAAGATTTGCCTTATATTCATTTGCACGAAGGAAATTCAATGCGTATGATAATAGATATAGACAAATTCCAAATGCGTATAAAAAGCATTAAGAATTTCCTGTTAATTGAAGAGGATAGTAATGCAATGATAGCATCGCTAGGAAGAAATGAAAAGGACTTAATTACTTTAGCACTTAAGCTGTGAGTGTTTTGCATTATATAGCCTTTTAACTTACTTATTAGCAATCTTGCTTGTGGTTGCTAATATAATTTATGTTGTATAAACTTCAAAATTAACATATTGTGCCACCAATGATGAGAAATTTGATTTTGGCAATTAACATCTTCCACTTAAATAAAATTAAGAAAAAAATAGAAAAAAGCATTATTAGGGCACTTCACTTGGATCTTTTCTTTTATATAAGCATGGATCTACAGATCTTTTAATTTGCCCTAAGTAATACGTTCATTAGCTGTATAATTGTATGTGTGCTTTACATGCTGTTATTATAAAAATTATGTCAATTCCTTTTGGTTGACTGTAAAGTTTTTGGTCATCATAGGCACTTTATGGTGTTTAAAGGAGAAAATGAAGTGATATGATTTTAGTTCACCTTGTGTAATATTTGAATTTTGTTTTATACAAATATTTCATTTCACTTCCTTTTAAATATTCTGGCAGTTTCTGCTGAGGAAAGTTTCTCTTGCAATCCACCTTCAATAATTTTAACGAAAATATTAGGTAGTGATTGGTTTGCATTTTCATTTTCAAAACGATTTTTAATTTTTCTCGAAAACGGCCCGTTTTCCGCGTTTTGAGCGTTTTCGATATTCATAACTGAAAACGTTGAAAATGATAAAAAGTCATTTTGCGTTTTTAGTTATAAATTTTAACTCGTTTTCGAAAACGACGGACCAAACGCGTTTTTCGCTTTTTCGAAAACGGAAAACAGAAAATGAGTCAAAAACGGCAAACCAACCACGGCCTTAGTTTTCACTTATTGTCTATGGAGCACTTAAATTGAAATATTATTTTCTCTCATATGAGACGGTTTTGGATTAAAAATGACATTTTAGTGACGATAATGTAAAGTTTATATTTTATGTTGTGAAAAAAAATCATATAAAAACTTTTTATCTTTTTCTAATCTTAGCTAAACATGCTTGTAGCATCATATGTTGATAACAAATGATTATTTTGAAATGCCTAGTCAATCTGAGCTCTTGAAATTTGATTATTTTGGGGTAGATTGACAGATGGTTGTATGATCCAATTTTTTTCTAAACTGCAAATTAGACGAAATCTAAAGCATCCTTACCCTCCTAATAACTATATAGGCCAGGTTATCTTTGCTTCTGTAATGGCATGACGATATCA